TCCTTGGTATCCAGCATGTGGTGAGTCCTTTCATGTTAGAAAGTAATATCCTTCCCTTCTGGGATATTTTCTCAAGTTATTGATAAGTTATACCATTCTAGTTTGCTTTTTTCCTCCTATTTTCTATCTCTGTTATTTGGTCTACTATCTTGGAGATTTCCTCAACTTTATCATTAAAATCTTTTAATAGTTTTTCATTTCTGTCATTTTTTTTTAAACTCCCAAAATTTCCTCTTATTTTGTTTTTTCCTCTTTTGTAGCTTCTCGTTCTGGTTTATGGGTATATCATCTCGTTTTTCGCTAAATTTTTATCTTTCTGCATAGTCTCTGTTTCTTCCAAGTCTTTTGTTTGTGATTCTACATCCTTCATCTTAAAAACTGTCCACAGATGTCTGGTAACCTCTAGCAACATTTGTGTTTACAGTGGTACTCTAAAAAGCTGATTAGAAAAATCAATTGCACTCTTATACACTAGGAGAGTTAGAAAAAAAAAGTGGGAGGACATGTTCTACAAAACACAACTATAGTATTTAAAACTGTGATATGGGCACAAAGGTAGGCAAATAGGTTAATAGAAAAGAGTGGACATTGTAACATTTGTACATATATATGTATATATTTTTCCAAATGTAAAAAAATGAAGTTGGTCCCCTGATTCATACCGTATATGGAGATAAATTCCAAGTGGATTATATATTTTTTAAAAATATTTATTTATTTTGCTGTGCTGAGTCTTAGCTGTTGCATTTGGGATCCTTAGTTGTAGCATACAAACTCTTAGTTGCAGCATGCGGGATCGAGTTCCCTGACCAAGAATCGAGCCCAGGCCCCCTGCCTTGGGAGCATGGGGTCTTAGCCACTGGACCACCAGGGAAGTCCTGATTTTATTCTTAGAAAAGATGAAAACTTAAAAAAACTTAAATATTAAAGCAAAAATACAGATCTTTCTCAACTTACCAAAATACAGATCTTTCTCAACAGATCTTATAGGGTCTTGTCCCTATAAACTCATCATAAGTTGAACATGCCTTTAATATATCTAACCTAGTGAAAATCACAGCCTAACCTAGCGTACCTTATACATGCTCAGAACACTTACATTAGCCTCCAGTTGGCCTCAATCATCTAACACAATGTCTATTTTATAATAAAATGTTGAATATCTCATGTTATTGGATACCATACTGAAAGTGAAAAACAGCACAATTGTTTACCCTTGTGATACTATCGCTACCTAGCATCATGAGAGAGTAGTATACCACATATCACTAGCCTGGAAAAGACCAAAACTCAAAATTTGAAGTACAGTTTCTACTGAACACATGTCATTTTTGCACCACCATGAAATTGAAAAGTTGTAAGTGAAATCATCATAATTTGGGGACTGTCTCTTGTGTTTTGAGATATGTGTTTTTGTGATATGTATGCCTTTTGAAAAACCTCTTTAGGAAATACCCTGGCAGTTCAGTGGTTAGGACTCCATCTTCTCACTACTGGGGGGCCTGGGTTCAATTCCTGGTCAGGGAACTAAGATTCTACAAGTTGTGCCCCCCCAATCTCTTTATTATCATTTTATTGGGGTTTTCAGAAGGAACAGAGGTAAATTTGTAAGCTCTGCCATTCTTAACAATGCTAAAAACTTTAATGAGAAAAATATCCAGTAATTAAAAAAAATTTAAGTATAGTTGACTTATGTTAGTTTCAGATGTACAGAAAAGTAATTATTTTTGCAGATTATATTCCATTATAGGTTATTATAAGTTAATGAGTATAATTCCCTGTACTATACAGTAAAAATCCTTGTTACTTTATCTGTTTTATACAAAGTAATTTGTATCTGTTAATCCCTTTCTCCTGATTTGTCCTCCTTCCATCCCTCTGCCCTTTGATAACCATAGGTTTGTTTTCTGTCTGTGAGTCTGTCTCTCTCCTTTATGTACATTCTTTTATGTTATTTTTTAGATTCCACATATAAGTGATATATAGTATTTGTCTTTCACTTATTTCACTAAACATAATATTCCCTAGGTACATCCACATTGCTGTAAATAGCAGTATTAACATTTTACTTTTTAAAGGCTGAATAATATTCCATTCCATACACACACACACACACACACATTTTTAAACTAGCAAATGTCACTTATTAAATTAAAAATGATGTCATCAAAACAAAAGAAAGATTTGTACAGATTTTTTTACTTCCTTGCAGAAATCACATATTACAAAAAATTTTTTATTGAAGTATAGTTGATTTACAATGTTGTGTTAGTTCTACGTACACAGCAAAATGGTTCAGTTATGTATGCATAATCTTCTTCAGATTCTTTTCCCTTATAGGTTTTTACAAAATAAAGTATGGTTCCCTGTGCTAAACAGTAGTACTTTGTTATCTACTTTTTATACAGTAGTGTATGTATGTTACTCTCAAACTCCTTTATCCCTCCCCCACATCTCCCCTTTGGTAATCATAAGTGTTTTATATGTCTGTGGGTTTATTTTTGTTTTGTATATAAATTCATTGTTTTTTTTTTTAATTTCAAACATAAGCAATATCATACGGTATTTGTCTTCTCCTGCCTGGCTTACTTCACCTAGTATGATAATCACTACAACCATCCATGTTGCTGCAAATGACATTATTTCATTTTGTATGCCCAAGTAATATTCCATTGTATATGAGAATCCCATGGACAGAGGATCCTGGAGGACTATAGTCCATAGCGTTCCAAAGAGAGGGTTACAACTGAAGTTACCTTCCCAACTGAAATGAAGTGTATTTATATATATATAAATACACACACACACACACACACACACATACACACACACACTTCTTTAATCCAATTGTCAGTGGACATTTAGGTTGCCTCCATGTCTTAGTTATTGTAAGTGATTCCACTATAAACATTGGGGTGGATGTACCTTTTCTTGTTTCTTTTTTTTTTTCTTTACGACCCCATGGACTGTAGCCCACCTGGGCTCCTCCATCCATGGAGTTTTCTAGGCAAGAGTTCTGGAGTGGGTTGCCATTTCCTTCTCCAGCATGTACCTTTTCAAATTATTGTTCTGATTCTTTCCTGATAGATACCCAGGAATGGAATTGCTGAATCAAATGGTAGCTCTATTTTTAGTTTAAGGAATTTCCATGTTGTTTTCCATAGTGGGTTCATCAATTTACATCCCCATCAACAGTGTGAGTTCCTTGTTTCCCACATCCTCTCAGTTCAGTTCAGTCGCTCAGTCATGTCCAACTCTTTGCTACCCCATGAACCACAGCACGCCAGGCCTCCCTGTCCATTGCCAACTCCCGGAGTCCACACAAACCCATGTCCATTGTGTCAGTGATGCCATCCAACTATCTCATCCTCTGTCATCCCCTTCTCCTCTGGCCCTCAATCTTTCCCAGCATCAGGGTCTTTTCAAATGAGTCAGTTCTTCGCATCAGGTGGTCAAATATTGGAGTTTCAGCTTCAACATCAGTCCTTCCAATGAACACCCAGGACTGATCTCCTTTAGGATGGACTGGTTGGATCTCCTTGCAGTCCAAGGGACTCTCAAGAGTCTTCTCCAACACCATTTTCTCAAACACTTGTTATTTGTAGACTTCTTGATGAGTCATTTGGACAGATGTGAAGTGATACCTCATTGTGATTTTGATTTTCATTTCTATAATAATTAGCTAAAGAGTCTAATAATGTCTGACTCTTTGTGACCCGACAGGCTATGGTCCATGGAATTCTCCAGGCCAGAATATTGGAGTTGGTAGCCTATCTCTTCTGCAGCAGATCTTCCTGACTGAGAAATTAAAGTGGGGTTTCCCATATTGCAGGCAGATTCTTTACCAGCTGAGCTACCAGGGAAGCCCCTAATAATTAGCTATGTTAAGCATCTTTTCATGTGTCTGTTAGCCATTCACATGTCCTTTTTGGAAAAATATCTGTTCATGTCTTCTGCCCATTTTTGATTGGATTTTATTTTTTTTTTGGTGGGAGGATGGGGCACACAGCACGTAGAATCTTAAGTTCCCCGACTAGGGATCAAACCAATGCCCCATGCATCGGCAGCATGAAGTCTTAACCACTGGACCACCAGGGAAGTCCTGACTGGATTTTTTTACATTGAGTTCTATGAGTTCTTCATATATCTTAGTTACTAACCCCTTGTCAGTCATATCATCTGCAAATATCTTCTCCCATCCCATAGGTTGTCTTCTTGTTCTGTTGGTTTCTTTTGCTGTGTTAAAGCTTTTAAGTTTAATTAGGCTCCATTTTTTTTTGCTTTTGTTTTTTTCTTTCGCCTTGGGAGACTAATCCAAGAAAATATTGCTACAATTTATGTCAGAGAATGCTTTGCCTATGTTCTGTTCTAGAAGTCTCATGGCTTCATGTCTTACATCTTTTTATTTTTCTATCTGGTGTAATGGAAAGTTCTAATCTACTTGTTTTGTATGCAGCTGTCCAGCTTTTCCAGTACCACTTGTTAAAATGACCAATAATGCTTCGCTAGTTATATTTTCTCTGAATTATCCAATCATAGTAATTTCACACATAGAGAAGCAGTTTTTCCCCATACACTTACACACATCGTTTTTTAAAAACTGATGCATCCGCATGTGGAAATTTCCCTGGAACTATCACTAGTTATCTATTCATAAGGAAAATCATTTCCTAAAGGTACCTGGTCCTTACTTATCAAAATCAGTTTTGCAAGTAAAGCAAAAAATTAAGAGATAATTTTTTGTGGGCCAAGTTAATTTGGGAAGCCCTGGATAGTGTGAGTAAGTGGAATAGCCATGACAAAACCAAGACCAAAGAATTAGCATAAATAAAGGTTTTATTGGTCAGTTTGGGTGATGGACACACTGACAGACCTTCAGTTCACTGCTCTGCACCCCCGAGGTCCTGAGGGGGCAGGAAGACAGCTAAGCCCATTAATACCGAGCAAGGGTAGGAGGTGGAAAGAATCTAAAGGCCTCTGAGGTTAATTAACAAGGCTACCGGGACCGGAACCAACGTCCTAGGAACAAATCCAGGATGGAAGAGGAATCATCCAAGGATGGAGGTGTTGGTGATTCTAGACCTAAAGGAAAAAGTGATACACACAGGCTAAATGAAAGGGATTGCAAAGAGGCAAAGGAGAGCAGTAATGTGAAAGGGCAGGAGAGTAATGGTTTCCCTTTCCCATGGAATTGAGAGATGGATCCCTTTCATTTATACTCTTCACTTACCATCTCTAGGACTGCCGCCTGCCTCTTGATGGGTTACTGTGGTCTCTTTCCGGCCCTCACTGTCCACCACAGTCCGGCGCTCCTCTATCGTCTACAAGGAGAAGCGCCCCCCCCATATCCCTAACATCACTAAAGGTGAGTTCACTGGTTTCTTTACATAGTCCCCCTTTCCAGAACATTCTCTGGTTAGTTGCCTTTACCCATCTCTCCCAACTCACCCCATCTGGCTTAGTGATCTTGGTCACAGAGACACTCTTGAAATAGGTTTTGGGTTGGGGCTGCAGAACCGGGCCAAGACCCTCCTGAGAAACCTGGGAATCAAGATCTAGGAGGGCACAGAAAGGAAACAAGAAAGAGTCCAGAGCGAAGAAGGGAACAAATGTGGTGGACAGAAATTTCAGGGAGAGAGACTACAGGGCTGGTAAATGTCCTCTCCCTCCAGACTTACCATTGTCTTCCCTGGCTCTAGAGTGGGGGGTCACAGGCCACGTATCATCAAACTGTAGAAGAAGCCAAAGTAGGTCGCCCTTTCAATCTGAAATATGAGGGGCCCCAGAACCCAAACTATTTCCAAGTTCCAAAACCACTTTTTTCAAGAGGAATGATCCCAGCAGGATGGCTTTCTTTACTCACTCCTCCTCCTTCCTACCTGATTCATGTATTTCTCTACCAAAAAGCATTCCTGAACTGACACTTTTCTGTCCTCCTTCAACACTTCTGCTTTCTCCAAGGATCATCTACAGTAATTTTTAACAAAAAGCAGAACTCCCATTTCCTTCCAAAGAAAATCCTACACAAAGTTTAATATAGAAAACAGATAAATACAAGCCAAGTCTGTTAGATTCCAGCAAGGTTTCCAGTCTTTGCAGTCAGTCTTCTCCACAGATCCCACTTAAGGCCCAGATGTACTCACCCTATGAAAAGGTCTCTGGGGGCCCCAGTCTGGTGCTGGTTTGGGGGATTCAGATCTTGCATCACTCTCCAAGCCCCCACCAAAGATCTTGGGCTGGTGACTATCTGGATACTTAAGCATTGAGTCCCGAAGCGTCTGTCCTTCCTGCCGTCTCTCACCAGGTGTCTCTGACTCAGGACCTGGAAGTTCTGCAGAAAGGTGGCAGGTGGATGCTGGGAGTGGGAAAGGACTTGGGCTCTTTTAAATCTCCTTGAAATCATCAGCTTTCTCACACTTCCCAACCCCCAACTACTCTCTGCAAGTCTTTTTTTTTTCACCCACCGACCCAGTAGAAACCACAGGTTCTCCCCCAGGAGCATCCACACACCAGGAGGGCGGGAAGGCAAGGTCCAGGCCCCCATCTCGCTGAAGATGTTATTGAAATCCCGTACTAGGTCATCAAAGCCGAAGTTATCGTGGAAACGCATTCCTCCTCCAGGGCTGAAGCTGAAGCCAAAGCTAAATTCCTCGGGGGGCTGGGGACCCTCAAACCTGGAGTTCCCACGGCCCCACGTGACTCCTTCTTCCTCCTCTTCCTCATCATCTTCGTCTTCATCGCGAGTCATTCCTCCAAAAAAGGAATCTCTGTGGCTAGGGGTGGAGGCAGATTAGCCACCAAAATTTCAGCACTTAAACCATAACATCAGCTAATGCGCGACAGAGTGGGGCAAGAGTTGGGATCTGAGAACCTGAAGCGAGGGTAGAGGACTGGCCATCAGGTTTGTTTTGCTTCATCAAAGTCGTGTCCCGCCCCTGCCCCCGCCGCTTCCAGCGGCTTTTCTTAAGTGTTTTCCAGCCCATCCCCTCCCCCAAGGTCTTGCTCACTTGTCCGCTTCCCCAGAGCCCCATTGTCTTCCCCACCCGGTCCCCCTGTTGCATCACCCTAGATTGGAGAAAGGCTGAAGCGGCTGTTTCTTAACGACCGCCCTGGTTACTGTCGGGGTGTGTGTGTTCAATGTTGACCTTCTTTTCCGCAGGAGTTGTAGGAGTGGAGAAAAGGATGTTTTTCCAAAAATAGGGTGTCAAAGGTCAAGCTCCCCTCAGAGTACTCCCGCCCCTCCGTGTCTGGCCCGAACCCGCTCTCACCTTCGAGGTCCAGAAAAGCCGAAAAAGCCCCGAAAGAGGTCAAAAAGGCTCATTCCCGCAGTGGGACTCGAACCTTCGAAGCCCACAGCTGGCAGCAGCCAGAGCTACGCTGTCGGAAATTGAGCGAAGCGTCAGACCACGCTGCCGGAAAGCAAGCATGAGATCGCACACTGTCGTAAAACAACCGTAAGCCGGCCGTCGCTGAGGGGAGGGGCGGGGCGGGCGATCCTATCAAATTCTAAAGGCTTTCAGTTTTGCCCCCACCTGTTTCCTGTGAAGGGAGCGGACGTACTGAATTATTTTCCAACGAACACTTGCCCTCTAAGCCAATTCTTTTGGCTGACCAACCCACTCCAATAGGGTTTCGAGGGGTTGACGCTTGATGGCACTGGAGACAGCCGCCAGAGGGCACCCCACCCACACAAATGAACCGGACCCAGACCCTCGCTCATTGCAGACTCGCCACACCCACGGAGCAGTGTTCTGCCTTAACCCACCTCGCTCCCTTCTTTCATCCTGTTTGTTTCTCGCCGGACTTAAGTCTGGTATTAGAGGAATGGACAAAATGTATCAAGCTCCTACTTTAATAATGACATCCCCAGAGTAAAAGACACAGGAGTGCATGGATTTAACTTCATCTCTCCAGCTATTAAGTAGTTTGTCAAGATAGGCTCTGCAACCATCGGAATAGACTTTGTAAGACAGCATGGGAAATCTGGTCGTTCTGGGAAGGAAGAATTTGGAGGTATCAGTGTCTCCTTTTGCCTATCAATGACTTTCAAAGCTTCCCCCCCTTTCTGTACCCCCACCTCCTTCCCAAACCTGGCCTTGCTCTAGCCTCCTCCTTTTCAAGGGTATGGATATTAGCTATGTGAAATGAAAACACTCAAGAAGCAAGACCTACTGCTTCAGTTTTGCTAGTCAACAGTGCATGTTTTGCCTTCATTTCTTCCCAGTTCATTTGCCTGGACCCATCTAAATTAACTTTGATTCTCTTGATACAAAGTGATTTCTTTCAGTTCTTGCTTAATCCCTTCCCTTTCCACCCAGTATCAGCTATCCCACTCCCTTCACTGCCTAAAATCTGCTACAGATCTGAAGGAAATGAAGTTTTGCAATGATTCTTTCCAGGCACCACTGTGAAATTTTTGAGGGAGGGCGAGGGAATCCCCTCAAGGGCAGCACATTAAGGTCAGAGTTCTTAAAGGGCGAAGATTCCGTTTTTATTCCACTGCCTTCAGGGCCTGCTAGAGAAGGCCCAGTTGGTACAGTAATATTTATTCACCAAGCTGGTCATCGACGAGACTGAGGACATCCTAGACGGAGCAAGAATGGGCAGAGGCTGAAGGTAGAGGTTTTCTTTTTATATATACAAGACACATTAATCCATTAAATTTGAGGACACAGTACAAAAAAAAAAAACCACTTCAACTAATTCATCTGACAATGCTGTTCATATTCATGACGCCATTTTTTGTTGTTGTTGTTGTTTTGTTTCCTAATAATAAAGGAGGAGACTTAGGGCTGTTGGGCTGATATATATTTGGGGGTCCCCCCTCCCCACCTCACCCACACACCACCAGGGTGAACAGGAGGAGGAGAAGAGAGGGCAGGGCCCACAGCAAAGTTTCATAATCTTGAATGCAAGGGAGGAGGAAGAGAGGAAAGGAAGAAAAAAAAAAGGAGAAAATACAAATCCTATAATACATACAACAGAGTGGGGATGGTATGGGAATGGGACAGACATGAAGCTGAGGCATGGGGTGGGCCGCTGGGGGTGGGGGGTAGCGGAACCCCCCACATTCTTTTCTCTCTTTGATGCTGTTTCCATAGTTGCCAGGCTGAGAAGCCCTCTCAGAAGATGGGACCGGGAGAAGAGGATTGGGGCCTCAGTTGGCCCCCCAGCTGTAGCTGTTGTAGGCAGACTTGTTGGTCTGGGGCTTCTGCGGGATGGAGCTGGTCTGGCTACGTTGCCCGCTGCCCGTCTGCAGGGGAATGGGAGGGTGAATGGGGAGGAAAAAGATGTCGAGTTAGTGGAACAAATTTATGACATCTTCAAGTGGAGATTTAGAAATTGTTTTACTCTCCCATTCCCCTGGCTTAGAAACTACTCTGAAGCTTGCTTCTCAACCATCAGAAATTTGGTTTATACGGCAGTTAAAAGCACCTCTGACAAGTAAAAAAGCACCTATAAACTTTAAATAAGGGAAAGATGAAAAGAGGGCAGGATACTTTTGGAGGCAAGATAGTGAATCAGTTCTACTCATTTTCAATTCCACCTCCCCCCACCCCTCAAACCCATCCTCTCCTGTTCCAGAAGGCTACTCTCTAGAGAGAATTATGGCCTCTTGGAGATGGGTAATCACAAGGTGATTTCACTTTCACTGATCTCTATAAATGCCTCAATTTGGGTATCTGTAGTTGAGAGCAAGGAAGTCCTCACTCTAGCTTCCCAAGCCACCTATGAGGAAGTGGGAGAGGTCACTTGCACCACCCCAGGGCTCCCCAGCCCTATCACACATCACATCTGTGAGCCTATTTCAGAGAAGATAAGAGAGTCTGAGGCCCCAGGCTCCAGATGCTGCTCCAAGAATCCTTTCCATTCCAGTAACCAAGTGTTTCAAAAGTCAGGGAAGGGTAGAAAGAAAAAGAGCAGTGAGGAGGGGAGGACGAGAGAGGAATGGGAGGCCAGAGAGCTCAGCAAGGTGTGTGTGTTCGTGTATCCCGCCTTGTGACCGTGCAATCTCTTCTCTTCACGTTCCCTGAGACTGTGGAGGTGAAATGGGGACTGAAAAGGAGTGGGTTCAAGCATATCATCATTCAGTTTCATTACCTGCTCCTCCTGCTGGCGCTGGCAACAGAGAATCATCTGCAAATATGGTAGCTGAGGCAGAACCAGGATATATGGAAAATAAAGGGACAAACTTTGACAATAGAACTCCACCATTAGAAGGGAAAGCTATAATGTCAGGGAAGGGGGAAGGCTGGGAGAGGTTAAGAGGGGAGGTGTGAGCCAGGTCTGATGGGATGAGGACAACTGTGCTATGGGAGGAGGTGGAGGAGAAAGGCACCAAAGGAATCGGGGAAAAAAGGTTGCAATCTGGCCCCTCTCTGACATATCCTTTGCTGGCCACTCGTGTTATGTGCGCTGTGTCTGTATGTGCTGTGTGCCCATGGCTGGCGCTGGGGAGGATTGGGTGAAGCTGGTGGTGAGGAAGGGTAAGAAAAGGAAAGGGGAGGTAGTTTTAGGGATAGGAAGGAAGAGGAAGGGAAAGGAAAGAGGGGGAAGGGCTATTACCTGGCCATCCTGCTGCAGGTGATGGTGAAGGATCTGGGAGTGCGGCTGCTGATGGGGAGTCAGGATGTGCATAAAGGGGGCAGGTGGGTAGGCAGCAGCTGTGGCCGGATTGATGGGCCCCCCACTTCCTAGGGCTGAAGGCAAGTTGAAGGAGGCAGCAGGAGTACCGGAATGAAAACCTTGTTTCTCAAAGGACTGCTATCCAGAAGAATAGGAGGAGAGAGAGTAAAAGGATCAGCAAACGATTCCTTGGAATTTCTGAATCTAAGATCCCCCACCCTGAGAGAGCAGCATGGTGTCACAGGAATGCTGCACCTTAAGTCAGATATTCAGGTCTCTGCCTCAGTTCTAGTCTTTAATAGCTATGTGATCCTGAGAAAACTATTCAGTCTCTCAGCCTGTTTTCTCTTACATGAATCAGGGATGCTATTAACCTCTCAGTTGTAAGGACCAAATAAGAGGACAGATGTGAGAGCACTTTGTGAAATCTAACATCATTCATGAACACAGTGAAATCTGTTGACTATTAGCACTATTAGCACAACCTCTGGAGTCGGGTAAAAATTAGAACTTGTTGGATATTTTTTTTAAAAAAAGAATACACTGAGGTATCTTCAGTGTTAATGGTCTTGGTCATGAAGCACTCCACCACAGCTCCTAGTACTTTACCTGGAACTTTTAATTATTTATGGTGTGCGTGTGGGAGCAACACAATACTAATCTGTGCATAATTTGGATGCCTCCTCGCTTTAATTACTGGGCTGTGTTGTATCCTTTCCCACTCTATTATAGACTTACAAAGAATGGGAAGAACTAGTTTCCTTTCATTCTGTATCTATTCTCTGAGAAACTTATGAAAAGGTTGGGAGTAAGCAAAGGGCCAGGAAAACTTGCACAGTAAATGACATGACATCACAACAATTTACCACACTTCACCTTCCTGTAACATTTTTCTTTTTTCCAAGAGGGCTAAATTTAAACTTTAAGAACTCACTCACTTTCTAGTAGGATGGGTTTCCTGATACCTCTCTTAAGAAGATTGTTCTTGTTCACTGTATTTTCCCACCCTTTGGCCATATGGCTTGTGGGATCGTAGTTCCCCAATCAGGGATTGAACCCGGGCCCATGGCAATGAAAGTGCCAAGTCCTAACCACCACACAGCAAGGGAATTCCCATGTTCAGTGTTCTTCTATCACTGCAACTCCACCTCCGTGATATCCATCTCTCTTTCCACTTCTGTCCAGAGCCAGGCACCTACCTGGGTTTTGGAGTACACAGAACCCGAGATATCTGGCACGCCTGTATTACTGGAGGTGACCGACACACCTGGGGGAGGAGGAAACAGACAGGAGGATTAGCTCAGCTAACCGTCTGGCCCCATCCCTGGGAAATGATGATGCTTTTCTAGCTATAGCACTGCGAGAGAATTTTGGTCTGTTTTTCCAACTTCATGTCAGTCCTGAGGAGTAAGAGCTCATGACACAGAAAGTTTCCCTAAGGGGTTCTCCTGCCCTTTCCCGATGTATACCGTTTATGTGGGAGCGAAGTGTGTTGTTTTTGGGAGCACCAGGGAATATAGCCAAACTTCACTAGCCTATGACTTTCAAAACACTCTCTGTGCCAAAGCCCAACAGGACTGCATTAAACTTTTCATGTCCATCTCAAATCAATCAGCCCAAACTCCACTCAGTTCTGCTGTCTTGCTGCTGAGTGGGCTCAAAATTCATGCCTCCACAGCAAAGGAGAAGTTCAGTTCAACCCCCAAGAGCACTTTCATTCTCAGAGCCTCAGTTTACTTAGTCCAGCTTCCCTATTGTCTTGGTACTACTAGGTTACATACTTACGATTTAAAGAGCAAATTTCCATTTACTCAATTTAAGCCTAAGTGTGGAGAGGAGAGAGGGTAGACAGGGTTAGGCTATCTCTTATAGCCTAGGTGGAACACAAAATCTAACTGTCATTCTAGTTTACAATTTCAGCTTTTCCATGAAGTAAAAACTCTAATCCATACTGCAGCAACTTGTGTGTTTCCTATTCTCCCTTACAAAAAAAAAAAAAACCTCCCTATACCACCACTGTAATTTTAGGGAAACCACAATGATACAATTCCCCATTTTAATCTGTCTGTACTCCTTAAACTGAAATACACATACTGTACCTCCCAGGGTATGAGGCAGTAAGAATAGGAAAAAAACCATCAGGTAAAATAACCCAGCATCTTACTAGTGAAACTGTATGCAAATATTGAAGAAAAAGTAACTGAAATTTTACTAGGAATTTAAAGCTTGTTTTCTAAAGATCTGTTTAATATCAGAAAGGGAGCTAAAACGAGACTTCAGAAAAACTTCAGTCTGGGTCTTTGGATTTTCCTCTGCTGTTAGGAGCATTTTGATGAGTTTTTTAGAACTAAACTGATGGACTCACCCAACACACACATACACACACACTCTCTCTCTCTCTCTCCATTTACCCACAATTCGGATTTTCCTCTGCTGTTAGGAGCATTTTGGTGAGTTTTTTAGAACTAAACTGATGGACTCACCCAACACACACACACACACACACACACTCTCTCTCTCTCTCTCTCTGATGGAGTGACAAATGAGGAATCCTCCATTTACCCACAATTCAATAACAATCTCCATTCAAACTCCAAAATCCAAATCCTCCCTAGACCAAGGCAGCCTTCAAAAGCTAAGCCCACCTTGGACAGCCACTTTAGAATCTTCCCAGTAGAAGTGGCGTTTACCCTGCAAAACCCTCCCATATCGTAAGTCCAGACAGTTTCAGGGAGGAACAAACACAAAATAGGAAAAGAAAAGAATTACAGACACTAATGGCTCAGTGATAAAGAACCTGCCTGCCAATGCAGGAGATGTCGGTTTGATCCCTGGGTCAGGAAGACACCCAGGAAGAGGAAATGGCAACCCACGCCAGTATTCTGTGCATGGAAATCCCACGGACAGAGGAGCCTGATGGGCTAAAGTCCACGGGGTTGCAAGAGTCAGACATGACTTAGCAACTAAACAACAGAAACCAAGCGTGAGAAAACACTTTCCCATCTTCAAAGTATCAACTCTATGTTTTAATGGCGCTGGAGTAAAAGGGGACAACACAGGAACTAACCAGGTAGGTTTTTTCCTTTCCTTTTTCAGCTCCCAGGTGCCCATTTGGCACATCACTGGTAACAGGCATATGGGAACAGAAATTCATTTATGAAAAAAGTTAAGCTAATGAGGAGGTTTGTATCGAAGTGTTGAGAGTAAGGTGAAATGGACAGGATAAAAATAGAATATCTCTGAGGGAAACCAGAAGAGACAAGTGACTTTTACAGTGAAGGTTCAAACAGCTTGCCAGCACCCCTGGTCATCCCATACAGAAGAAGAGATGGCTGTTCTCAAGCCTAGTGGTAGGAATTTAGTTCCAATGTGCCCTTAACTGGTCTCATTCTTTCTAGAGGCTGGACTGGCTCAAAAACAGCTTCTAGTCTAGAAGCCTTGATTGGGCTACTGGTTGAAACAACTGGAGATGCAGAAAAAAACAAAATAGTGTAGTAGCCCTAAATGGACTCGGTGTAAGCATTTGAGACCCTAGAAAATAACAGGCATTCATTTCCCTACTTACTATTCATCAATTACAAATCTGAGTTTTTTTGCTTTCCTTCCAACAGTCAACATCCCCTAGTTAATCCACACTCCCAAGCAGTGATGATCACACAAACACAATGTGGATGGCGGGGAGGAGAAACAACAAGAAATCTCTCCCAGCATGGCAACCCCTGAGAAAGCTGGGCACACTCAAAAGACAAAATTACTTCAGAGGACTGGGAACAAATACAAAGAAGGTCAAATATCTGGGTTTCCAATTAACCAAGAACGGAGTTCTCAGTATCCAAGTTAACTCTACGAATGAAGGGCATTAAGAAGGGGTGAGAATTTCCGTAAAGGAGATGTCTAGCCAAACCTCTCCCACACATCCTTAGCTACACCCAACAAGTGCGAATTGACTAATAATCCACAATCCCTAAAAAGCCATCAAGGGACTATAAGAACAATGTTCCAGGCTAGAAGAGTTTCCATAGCCCGAGTCATCAACTAGCTGGTCACTCAAGAGTTTATCAGATCTCAGCCAGCCATGTGGCCTCTGGGAACCAGACGTGGGTACTAAACCTGGAAGATACTTTCGTAACAACAGTTCTGAACACCATCTCTTTAGCCTTTCACAATGACATGACACTCATTTTTCTGTCCTTTCCTCTCTGCTTATGTCAGAGACAAGGGGAAGCTCTAAACTGAAAAGTGAAGAGCTATAAGCAGCATGGAGAATGGAGAATTTTCTACAAATAGCTTTCTTTACCAACCAATCAACAGGCTGAGAACTGAGGCCACTTCCCCTCCCCCACCTTAACAGAGTCACCATACTGAAAAGTTAATGGTTCTTTGACTATGCTGGGGTTTGAACGAAAAGGCCACCCTCCACCCACAGCACAACATTGGCTCCTAGAGTCCAGACAGACATGCACGGAAAGAACGCCAGAGTTAGCTAAAGAAATACCACAGTTTATTGAGGACTACAAATATTTTGTTACAAGTTGAAACTACATGCCTTCCAGAAATCAAAAGCAACAGCAGGTGTGTGCATTGATGCTTCGGAGGAGGTGCTGCACCACTTGAATTCGAAATGGGTAAGACAGGGTCAGACACATGGGGCAGAGGGAAATGAGGCAAGGGCAAGTTCAAAAGCCCAGAAGGTATCCACCAACTCATTCCCCCAAGCCACGCAGGCCATGGCCACAGCTCAGCAGGCTCTCCTCAGTGGTCTGGTTTCTGAAACAAGACTTCAGTGCAAATTTATACACACACACAAAACACAGCCCCCAGCCTTGGGCCAAATTAGCTCTCTGCCGTCCAGAAATGCTTGTAAGGGGGTGGATATTTTCTTCCTAAAAGGAATCAAATACATAAAAATAAATGAATTTAGAGGTTGATGAGGAATGGGATGACAAGAGCCCTCTGTGGGATTGGGAACTGGGGGTCCTCAAAGGGTTGTTATAGGTTTCTGAAATCTTAGGGAAAAACTAGGATTTCCACAATCAGGTAATGCCACCTTCTTATACTACCAATCATCTACCTCTTAAAATTCTTGAATCTGGTCCAGCTAAAACCTAACCCTAAACTCCTGTAATAGGGCCACTCTAAGACAAGAGCTTGTAAGCCTCCCTACCAAGGACTAGGGCTGACCTGCTCAGTGTGAGGGGTCCCGAGCCACAAGGAGTCTGTGTATTTAATCTCAGTGAGTTTAAATACACGAGGTTTAATCTCAATGAGTTATCTCAGGATTTCTTTACTTTAAATCTCAACCCACTGTAAGTCATATAACACATTCAAAGCTCCACCTGATTGATAGTTTCCAGACCTACTGCCCTCTCAGCTCAGTTTCCCAATTATTGAAAAACCTTGGACAATTTTAACCATCTGGAGCCCATACAAGGGTGAAGAACACAGGTGCAGCTCCATCCAAACCATCATGAAATCATAACTGAGCTAAGAATTTTAAAGAACAACCCTCAACTTCAACCCCAAGCAATGGCAACCACCTACTCTCCATACACATCTATTAGGCACCGAGAAAAGTAGAACTGTTTTATTCAAAAACCCTTACTTCCTGTCCCCCCAAAACAGACAGTAGGTGTCAGGGAGCAAAGGATAGGATAAATATCTTTTAGGTCAGCGTCCATTCAGAGGATCCCCGTATTTCCCTCCCTGCCTTCAGCTGTACAATGGACTTTGTGAAGAAACCAGCCATAAAAATGAAGGAACCCAAAGGTCCAACTCTCCCTCTATTGAGCATTTGTGCCCTACTCCTTTCTTTCCACATCTTAGGCCCTCTAGATAGGGAATAAAATGAGGGGCCACATGAGGAAAGTAGTACTATAAAGAGATTTCAACCAAACCTATCAGTGTCTTAGCTAAGAACCCATTTAACTCTTCTATTCAGTGAATGAATATATCACCTACTGTACTTACCAGTACCTTAAATGTTAACACCTGCCCCTGAAAAATCTCAGTAAAATCTTGCTTAGATTTGGGTGGGTCCCTTGCTTCCCACCCAAAGTGTAGGCCAGCCAACATATTCTAATAGCCAATTTGTGCCCCAGGGCATTCTCATCATGAGTAATAAATACATGTTCTACTATTAAGCTCTTCTGTTGGTGCTGCTCAGACAGTAACCCAAGTCAGACAAACATGAACACATACCTGGAGCAGCAGCACACCCTTACCAGCCCTATTTTCTCAAGCATAGAATCTTCCTCCCTGAAACTCATTTAGTAACATCCCAATGACAGCCAGGGTCAAGGTTGGCTTACCAGTGTTGTATCCATGAGACCCATAACCACTTGGCTGTTGGAAAGGGGTGGCTGATGCATTCACACTGACATTCACACCATGCTGCTTGGAAGAGGTAGGAGCCACCTGAAGAACAAAAGGCCAGCACTACAGTGAAATGGCGGCAAAGTTACCATTTAACCTACTCCAGAGACTGGGCATTCAAGACGGCTACCCATCCTGATGCAGGCTGTCCAGTTTGCTTAGCAAAATGGCTCAGAGAGTGAATGACAGTCTGAGGGAAGCAAAGCTATACATTGCCCCTTTAGCTAATTCTAACAACAGGGAGTCCCTTATCCCAATACCACCTATCCAGCCCCAATCCCTCTCCCAGGCCAGAAGTGGAAATTGTTCCTCCTTATTTGTTATCAAAGTCATCTAGCTTTCAAAGTAGCTAGGATAGTGTCGAGGATTCTTCACTACAAGTAAAGACCAAGTCCAAGCACTTACAGGGAACACAGCAGGCCCATACTGGAAGGTGCTGGGAAGGCCAGGAACCCCTGTGTAGTATGGCAGGCTGGTGTAACTGTAGCCAGGAGGCAGCGCCGGGTTCAGGAATGTCTGCTGCGTGGTATGGTGAGTCTGCGTCTGGTTCTGTTGGGGTTGGGCCAAGGTTGTGGCTGGGGCCGGGGAGGAGGCATCCCCACGGCCAAACTTTGTGAGGTCACCTGTGAAAGGAGAGGCTCAATGTATCTGCCTCTTTATTCCCCACATCAATGTAGAATTACCTCTTCTGGTTTCACATGATCCAGGAGAGACTTAGTTAAAGTTCAATTCTTTGAATTTTATTTTTTTGAGGCTCCATTGAGCACTGCTCAGGACACACACTGCACAGTGCCAGTCAAGGACTAATGAGGCATGGCTGTGCAATGCTGTGGCAGAGACAAGCTTCCAGAACAAAGCTCCTATATGGTTTCTCTGCCCACCTATGTTCTTTCATCTCTTCCCCACCCGACCCCCTACTTCCCCTCTCTGCTTTTCCTCCATGGGGAAAACTCCATATAGGACCTGAAAAACAGTGACAGTCAATAAGGACAACAGGTCAGGCCTATGGCCTGGCAAGGCAATAAGACTGCCATGTAAATAGGGAACAGGAGTAGAGATGAGCAAAGGAAGGTCAGTTCAACCACTATACTTATTCTAAATCTATTGACCCTGATTCATGACATCCATTTTGTATAATATTTCTGTCAAAGATCTTAAGGTGAAAACTGGATATACTAATCAGGTTTCTCCCACCAATACCAACACAGCTTCCCTTTATTCAGCCTCATCCCAATCCTACCAGAATAAGGGTTGCTGGCCAGGCTACCATCCCTCCCAGTCAGCGGAGTGGTGGGTGTGGGAAATGGGATGCTGTAGTAATCCTGAAAGACAGAAACAAAAGAGACTCAGTGCCACTCATTATTGGCATGACACACTGTACAAGGTGAGAAGCAAGAGAATGTTGGAGAACTGCAGTTTACCCAGCCATTAATGAGCTGGCAAGAGCTAGCACAAACTCCATATTACTCTTGCATACACTGTCCCCCCTGCCTGGCCATGGGGATAGTCAGGCAAGGTCTACAAGTATGCCCACCAGGAAAACGCTTCAAGTCCATCAGTACCAATAATATTCTAGATAAATTTTAAACCTCTAGATATAATCCTTAATAGTCTACCACTACGAAGATAATACATCTTCCTTCTAGAATTCATCAAAGTGTTTGAGACATAAAGGAAGCTTAAAATATGTTTAATTCAAAGATGCCACAACTTTTTTAAGTGACCTTCTATTAGAACCACTCTCTAAGTACATTCTAATATATCTTAAAGTATGTATATGCAGATATAGGTTGAGAAAAAGCCAAGTCTGTGACTTATCAAGTAAACATCTGGAATAATTCAAACATTAAGATCACTTTCTTTCCCTAAGCTCTACAACCATATACTCACCAATGGAAATCTTGTCTGAAGCATCTGCAAGTCATCATAACCATATACCTGTGGCTGAAAGATAAAAACACATAACAGTATTAATGGGAACTGGTCATGATGGTAGCAAACCAAGGAGCTAAAAGACAAGATAAATCAACAGAACTTTCATCTTCATTCATGAGAAAAGAGAGGACATAGATTATTTCCTTCATTTTCCTTAAGAAATGAAATGCGAAGAGATTACATGATTCATGAAAGACCTTGAAGTTTTCCTTGAGCTACATACTGATTCAACTAGGCTGTCCTCTGGGTAGCAGTGGGGTACATAAGTCACACATGAAAAATTAACTTTATTTTGCCAGTCTTTTTCTCCATTAGCCTTCAAAATATGGCTTAAAATTTCTCTCTCAGAAAGGAGTCACATTTTACTCTATTATAATTTAACCGCTGGATACTAAGGTAGTGTGTTAACTATTTAGAAAGTGCTACTGGGTATTTCATTTGTATGATCATCTAAACTCTCTGAAGGCAAAAACAGGTGTTTTGAGTTTTTTTTTTTTTTGGGGGGGGGGAGTATTTACAATGCTGTTTGAGTTACAGGTGAGTAGGTTCTCATATACCCACTCTTTTTTTTTTTTGATCCTTTTTTCATATAGGCCATTGGAGTACAGAGCTGAGTTACTTGTATACAGTAGGTTCTTATTACTTACCCGTTTTACATATAGTAGTATGTACATGTCAGTCCCAACCTCCCCATTTATCTCTTCCCCTCCTGTATCCCCTGGTAATCATAAGTTCAAAAAACAGGTATTTAAAAAAAATGTTTCTAAATAATATCCTTCTAATAAGCACTGAATACATAAAACACAGCAAGACAAAAGGCTACTCCTGTTATTCACCTATTCTCAGAGAACCACAGACTAACTCAGGGAACTCTACTCTCATCAGGTCAGAGCCAGCATAGACCCCCAGGATTAGGAATCAATCCAACTAGAGAAAATAATTTTCTAGGAAACAGGGATTCACTAACACAACAGACAAGTTCACAGTGACACTCTGGCCTCTGGCTTCTGAGGCCCAGTAACTCTTTCACACAGAGAAAATACACAATAGAGGACCTGGTCGAGGTTGAGTCCTTCCTCTTAAAAAAAATTATTTCCCCCCCAAACTAAAAAGATTAAAGACTACACATGACAACTGCTCATTTATTATGTATATATAGTCTTCCACCTGAAGTCACAGCAATAAAGACTAGGCATACCACCTTCCTCTTTTGGAAAAGATCATTCAGTCTCACTTACCGGGTAGGCATGTAACAGCCCTGGAGCCATAATATATGGATTAGGCAACAATGGCGGGACCCCAGGAGGGAGGTTGGGAGGAGCTTTTCCTAAAAGAGAAATTATATTTTTATCTTGTCACACCATTACTTTGCTCCTCCATCCCAAAGGAAGGTAATTCCACTTCTACACAGGGTTACCTGAAGTCGTAGCAACTGAGCTTCGAGTGGAGGCTGTGACGGTAGAGTTGCTGCCAAGGCTGAGGCCCAAGCTACTGCCACTACTGAGACTGGAGGAGACACTGACCACTGGGGGAGGAGCAGAGACGGTGCTGGATGCAGTGGAGAAAGTGCTGGAGGAAGAATGGAGATTCGCCTCACTCTCCACGCTCGTGTGCTTCAAAAAGGCAGTGCAGTGCAAAAGAGGAGGAGGAGACAGTGATTAGTGTAACAGGTCAGGAAAGACATTCCCTTCTATTGATTTTGTCACACCAACTTCCCAATTAAAGAGGCTGAGACAGGGTATTGGGCATCCTCTGCCAAAATAACTAGAATAAACGATTAAATACTCTCCAGCTACACATTCACCAAGATTTATCCTGTAAAGATGGTTAGCAATGGACCCACTGCACATTATCACCCTGTTCAAAAAGCAGCAGAGCGAGTAGGGACAAACTCCCTAGAAACAATACTGACTGCCCAAGGAGACAAAAGTTAGGTCTGAAAAATACATCATAGCCTCCTCGACTACTCTTCTTCACTAGGCTAACACAACAGACAAGTTCACAGGCTAGAAAAAAGTACAAGTTCTAATGCATTTAAACCTGAAATAGTATACTGGAGAAAAGAGAAAATCCTAAGAAAGCCTTAGCCTTCATTACCTGGTCCCAGGCTTTTTTTTTTTTTTTTTTTTGGTCCCAGGCTTTTGACAAACCAGACATGCTTTCCCTGAAACAGGTCCTTTTGAACTGAGTTTTTTTCCTTACCATCTCAGCTTAATTCCACAAATATAGTTGTCACAAAATCACAACAGTGAAATTAATTCTTTAGCCAAAAGCACTCATCTGGCCTTTACTTTCATAGGATGCCTAGACTCCTTATTTTCAGGACTCAGGTTTGGCAAATCCCAGAATGAAAATGGCTGTATCAGTTAGAAAAAATGTTCTTACAGAATTTATCATAGCATACAAAGCCCCACCCAGTGTCAGTGTCTTAAAAAAAGTCATATACTAATGAAAGTAATTTCCAGGGTTTTAAGAATTAGCCCACAGCTCTGCAGTTATTTCTTGCTTCTTCTGCCTTTCTTGGCTTCAAGTATCCTTTACCCCTTTTCCTGCAACCTTAGATCTGTTGTCATTTTGCCACCTCATGAAGAAATTTTCAAGAGTTGCTTCTTGGGAGAATCTTATGGTTAGATAATTGTTTGAGTATAAGAAGATCACATTTCCTTTTTCCCACATTCACACTTACCAAAAGAGTGGATGTCGAAGTGCGCCCAGAAGATGTTGATGACGAAAGGGTATTCTGCTGAGTAGATAACGTGCTGTAAGGATAAAGTGGTTGCCATCAGCCACAGTGCTATGGTTACTGCCTGACATAGAGCTTCAGTCAAGAACTGGGGACTAGGCTGGGGACTTCCCTAGTGGTCCAGTGGTTAAGAACCCACCTGCCAAAGCAGGGGACACAGGTTTGATCCCTGGACTGGGAACTAAGACCCCTCATGCCTCGGGGCAACTAAAGCTCATGCACTGCAACTACTGAAGCCCGTACACCCTAAAGCCTGTGCTCCGCAAAGAAAGAAGCTACTGCAATGAGAAGCCCGCACACCATAACTAGACAGTAACCCCGACTCCCTACAACTAGAGAAGTCCATGTGCAGCAACAGAGAACCCGTGCATTGCAATGAAGACCCAGCAAGCCACAAAAATTAACAGAGGCCAGACACAGAGAACTAATTTGTAGTTGCCGAAGAGAAAGAGATAGAATTGGAGTTTGGGGTTATCAGATGCAAACTAGTACATACACAGAATGAAGGAACAATAAGAATGAAGGAACAATACGGTTCTACTGTACAGCACAGAGAACTATATTCAATATCCTGTGATAAACCATAATGCAAAAAATATAAAAAAGAATGTATATGTATAACTGAATCACTTTTCTGTACAGCAGAAATTAACACATCATAAATTAACTATAATTCAATTAAATAAAAAAACAACCCAGGCAAAGAAGGCAGAATATGGGACCAAGCAGATCTGAGATCGTAAGGTCAACACAATAGTCAGTGAGGGGTAGTGAGCAGTTAAAAGAAGAATGGGTTTTGAGAAAGTGAAAAAAGCCTCCTCTGTCTTTACTTCTCATAGCTTGTAGGTCATCCACTTAGATAATGTGGTCTCTGCTAGGCAGAGAGGGTAAGAGAGAACCAGAGAGTTCTGTTATTACTATTCACCAACCCAAACCTCCATCCTCACCCCAAATCACCTGCTGTGTTGTGTGGTGGTAGTATTTGGAATCTCCTCATTGTGGCTCAAGCCACCCAAGGAGGATGAGTGCTGATTGGTTGTCGTCAGTAAGGAAGCTGCAGATACCGTTTCACTGAGAGGGGGGATGCCAGAAGAGGAAGGTGAGTCAGATTTCACTGCAGACCCCGTAGCACCTGGAAATAAAGAAAGGAATTCACATCATCAGAGGAAGTTAAGAGGTGACAACAGTCCTAGGCTGTCCCGAAGACAAGAGTGTGAGTATGAGTTATTTAGTAATGGACCACTGGCATTTAGGTGCAATCTTTTTTTTTTTTTAAATTCTGAGCATTTCACAGTACCAATCTCATTTGTCCAATAAAGGAAACCAAAAGGATTATCACTGTTACAAGACAGAGAACCTGAAACTTAGGAAGGTTTGAGATTAAACATCAAGGTAGAAAAAATCAAGCTAAGAATAAAACCAAAAGTTTTGATCATTGAGGCAGGGGTCTTTTTATGACAATCTGCAACATGCAAAAATATTGAAAGAGGAGTAAAAACACTATAATTTAGAGGAAAAAGCCTGGAGAACCCTCACCTTCAACAGATTGCGTGGTCTGTAACTGCGTGGCCTGCACAGAACTGAAGCCATTCTGATAAGAAATAGACAAACGAATAGATTAGGTTAGTACACTGACTTAGTTTCATTTTTGCCAACCAATTCCTTTCAGAGAAATTCTGCAAGTTAACAGAAGGATTAACATAATGTACACAACCCAAAGGAAAAACAACAAAAATTTTAAAACAAAAGATATACCGACCCTGTGTGACCCAGGGCAATAGGAGGCAATGCCTAAAACTGCTGAGAGATCCCCAACCCCAAACAGATAAAAGAGAGGTTCAAATCCAATGATCCCTGGGGAAGGATGTGGGAGTAAGACAGTTCAGCCAAACCACTTATTCTGCTGGCTGCATCTGACAGTCATTCCACATTCTCCACATTTCCTCTGGCATATGCTGTCCCCCTCACCAAGCCAAGACATAGCAAGGTGAGGTCTACCGATATGCCCTCAGAACTCTAGCAATCAGATCTTCCAAGAAAACAGGTATTGGAGAATGATTCTACTAGAGAGCATGAATCTTTAGTGGAAAGAGAATGATCTTCTGGCTCTAAGTCTCCAGGATTAGTGCACAGAACTTTTTTTTATTTCATCAACCACAAAAATGAGGTTAAGCTTCATAATCAGCATTTCAGAGATATCTCAGCACCATTTGTCAAGAAGTAAAACACTAATATTTAAGAGACTTTGTCTTCTATTCTCCCAACTGATGCCCAGGGGCTAATGAAGCCAATACCTTTGCCTGAGTCAAGTCCTTTTGGGGTGATGAAGAGATGGAGCTGGGGTACCGCCGAGTCTGTGTGGATCTCTGTTCATATAGAGGGCCCTGAGCATTATTTTGGGAGGTATAGGTTGTCGACTGAATTGGGCCACTCTGATAACCGGACTCCTGACTCTGGTTAGATGAAATTGTGGATGAAGATTCACTGTGGGGAATGGAGAAGGAAAATCTCAAAAGAAATGAAGAGAACAGATCTATTGATACTAGAAGAGTGGAGTAAGTTACTCTTACTAGAGTTGATTACAATCAACTTGTAATCAAATTGATTATAATCAAAAAGACAAACTTCAAGAACAAATAAAAGATACTGCGACAATTTTCTCCTGGCAACAGTAGGAATTTTGACATCCTATAAAGCCAGGTATCTAAGCTAAGAATCAAGCTTAAACACAATTTCAACTCTTAAAGGAAAAGAAAATTTTCTTGTGTCCCTACATTCTGCTGTTATTAGAAAAAGAAGCTAAAAGTCAGTAGAAAGGATACACTACTCTTGGTCCCTTTCACGCAATTGTAACAAGAACCCTAAGCACAGGAAAAAACACCTTTTGCTTATTTTAAGGAATTCTGAGTTCTTGGCTCTCTCAAAAACCCAAGAGCAAATTCTCTTGAGAAGAACTTTAAAAATACTCACATGCATTAACAACAATTATGATTCAATAGAGCTAGGCTAGGGCAAGGCATCTCTACTTTTAAATTCTAAGGATTGGGGGGGAAAAAAGACACCTATTACTCTGAAATTCCAGGATTTTCTATTGCCTAAGATAGACTTCCCTGGTATCTATCATAGGAAATAGAAAAGGTTCTACAGGAAAGGTTTCTTTTAATTCTGTACTACTAATTTTAATTTTACCTCCTTCCTAGGAGTTCTAAGTTACAACCTTCATAGGCTTTAAATCCACACAAAACGTCTCAAAGTGTCAAAAGCACTGTTCGTTGTGGCAGATGCCAAGGTACTTTAAAGGTGGGGTACACCTTTCTAGGAACTGTGCTTGGACATTCTGTAAGTACCCAAAGGATATATTTCTTTTTTTTTTTTTAAATTTATTTATTTATTTATTTATTTTTTTATCACAACCATGGTGTATCTTTTTTTTTTTTTTTTTTACATGTATTCCCCAAAGGATATATTTCTATCTGTTTAGAATTATGAAAAAACCTAGTAACAAAAGCATTCAACAAACTGCTACAAGTGGCTGCTTTTCCTTCAATCAGAGCCTTGGCTGTCCAGAGTTCTAGGAATCAACAAGAGACTTACAGAGAGTGGTAAAAGTCTAAAAGAAGTCTATGACAGCTGTTTCCTCTACCTGGCCGTGCTGGTATAGAGGCTACTTGGAGCCTGGCTTGAAGAGGCGCTCGTGGTGGGGGTGGACTCATAATCAGAAAGGACAGGCTCTGATCCAAACTGCAATGCCCCAAACTGCAGGTTTAGCCCTGAGATATCTGCTGAACCAGGCATCTCCACAGCCAGAGCGGGAATCTGTAGAGAAGATAAAGAAATGGTTTACTATAACCTTACTGTAAGACTGATAACAAACCTCCACATCAGACTTCCAAACTACATCCTTACAATCTCAATTCTCAAATCCCACACCCCTTTGCCCTAAAATAATATCTATCTAAAAGTTCAAATACAAATGAAAAATAAATAAATAAATAAAAAAAATAAAAGTTCAAATACCTTAGAAGTCAAGGAGGCTTTTTTCTTCTGCTGTTTCAGTTTTTGCTGAGCTGGCTGAGGGCTGGAGGATTGGTTGTCTGAAGACCCAGGAGACATTTGTGGAGCCGAGGCGGGTTTGCTCGGCAGAGGAGAAGACGGGGGTGGAGGCGCGGCTGTGGCGGTCGCCACAGCAGGCGGCTTCTCCTGAAGGAACACCTCCATCATGGCTGAAGACGGGGTGAAAGCCTGGCGCTTTGTAAAGGGGCTGTGCACTGTTGAATCATTTGGGTTCTTCAAATCTGCATGAGGACATCCAATAGGTATGAGGCCAGAGGTCCTCATTAACCTCAAGAAAATACTATCATTCTGTGACAACCATTGAGTTATATCAAATCAACACTATTACACTGCCTTTGTAAGAAAGCAATCTAGAAATGGCCCATATTGAGAGTATAAGGTCCTAAAACGGCAAAGTTCATAAACTCTTCCAAAGGCAACACACTGTTTTCAAATACTGAAGATAAATCTAGGAAAAATCCAAAACATCCTCACGTCAACAGAAGACTGCAAATGTGTACAGGGTTAAATTTGATGAAAGAGATATACAGTTTCAGCTTATATATTTATTTATTATTCCCCAGCTATCTGAACTGAGCCTCTCTGACAAGGGGAGATCAGTGTGGGAACTACTCCTGCCAGCCTCTTGGCAGTAATCCTCCAACGCTTAAAGAATTCAGTCACTTTCCATCTTTCTCACCATACTGCACCAGCGATGGGGACTGTGTGGTAGAGCCCATGTCCCATGAGGAGGTGGTGGTGGTTCCAGATTGAGAATGCTGAGCTGCCAACTGAGCCAGGGCCTGAGCAGTCTTGAATTGCTCCAAGAACTGGGAGCCTGTGGTGCTGCCGCCTTTAGCTTCACCAACATCGCCAAATCCTTTCCCTAACATGCTCACCTGTAGATCAACAGAGATTAGAGAAATCCACAGCCAAATAACCTTGTTCAGCTACTCAAAAAGACACTCATCTGGGTTAAGAGTCAGTATAAAGAATGTCACTAAATGGAATAGTCTATTACAGCATAAGGCCTGGACAGAGACTGTCTAGACTTAAATCCTGGTTAAGTAATTGTGGAAAAATGACTTGTAGTCATCCGTACCTCATTTTCCTCATCTGAAAATAAAAGTAGTATCTCATAAAGGTGTAGGAGGATTAAACAAACAATAGATAAAAAACATTTAATATGTGCATGATACATAGAAAGCACACAAAGAAATTTAAGAGCCATTAAAACTGATACCATTGCCATCACCCTTCCCTCACTCCTTCTCAGGACTTCCTTTTCTTCTTTGGCCATGCCAGGTCTCAGTTGCCTAACAAGGCATCTCTAGTTGTGGCATATAGGATCTAGTTCCCTGAAACCAGGCCCCCTGCACTGGGAGCATGGAGTCAGACACTGGGCCACCAAGGGAGTCCTCAGGAATTTCTTTAATGACTGGAGGAGGGGTTTCCCCCCTTTATGAATTTTTAAATCAACTAATAACTGTTTACTAAGCTAACATGAAGATGACATAAAATTTCACTTCAGTCATTAATGTCTTTGCCCCTTCCACTGAAAAGCTCAAAGAGAACAAAAACAATTAATTGGAGCTTCATCTCAATGCTTCTAATAACTAGCAGAGAGAAAAGATGCAAAATTAGGGACCATCCTAACTTCTTCACTAGACGATCATGGTAATAAAGAAAAACTTACTCTCGATGCTTCTGGGGGATCCCCAATACCAAGTAAAACTACCATCCTAGACCAGAAAATTAACCATTCTAAAGAAACTCTAAGGAGATTTAATCTGGTCTTTCTTAGGTTCTTATTTAACCACATCATGATTTTCATCATTAAGCAGCACTTATACAAAATCAATCTGTCCAACTCAAGGTAAGACTTTTTCTTTTGCACTTCAGTCTGTATTTCAAGATTATACAAATAAAAACCGAAACAGCCAAAACCTAGTTGAAAGTACAGGATTGTAGGAGAAATGATCCCACACAGCAATGATTACCAAATACTCTGCAAGCACGAAACATTAAAAACACAGAAAATTACTTTATATTCACATATTATGATAATAAGGACTCCTATATTACTTCTATCTATTAAATTTTAAGGGAAATTAATCCTGTAATTTATCCTGAAAGGAAAAGAACATTAAATAGCACACTAATTAATACAGATAATAAGAAAGAACAGAATAGTACTTATGTTTAGTTTAACATATCACATGACACACATTAAACAGAATGTTAAGGATAAAGTGGAAATATACTGAAATTTCGATTTTTGATGAGAATTTGGATTTGGGTATAAATCTTAAATTCCAGGCTTTAAAGATAATTTAAAGTGACACAAAGCACTTAACCCTTTTCAAGTCATCTATCTTAGGGGTTGGCAGTTATTTTCTGATCATCTTTATCCCATTTTCTTTCTTTCTTTTTGGTCCTAACACTTCTCTCCCTTTCTCTTCTCTTCCAGTTTTGCTCACCTGTCACCATTCATATATGGCAGAATATTAACCACCAAATTACCATTAACACAGGAAATTACTTTAGGATAATGGTTAAAAACGAAAAAACTTCTGGATTAGAGGCTGACTTGGCAATTTTCTAGTTGAAGCAATTACTATTAATATAATCTTACTACTAGATAAATAAAAGTATATGCATACACCGTCTCTTACCTCTTGACAACCATCAAAAAGTAAACAGACAGCAAAGTAAAAGAAAGAAAAAGCAGTACTTTTAGGATTTACTGACCATAAGAAAGTTGGTCCTTGTATCATCTTTGTTTATTTAGCCTTTCCCGTAATTGATGACCTTGAATTTTTTTAAAATAATTCTGAATCAACAAGTCATTTGTTGTTAAGTGCTCCAGGGTGTTAACAACTAATATCACTACTGCCACCACACTGTATAACTTTTACTCATAATCTTATCTGTCTTCCTGAAGCCCTGTAAAATAGGCACAGCAAGCACCCTTATCCCCACTTAAGGAGAAAAGTTATTATATGGGCAGATTCAGGAAGACCAAAGTTTTTACAAGCCTAGCTCAGAAATGTCTGATTTAAACAAATACATATGGTAACTGTGCTCTATCAAGAAACAGGGAAGTGCTACCACCTCTCATCAACGTTTAATTACTGTTACTAATTAGTATTAGCATTAAAATTGTCATTGATTTTCTCTCTTCAAGAATAACAAAATAAGCCCTGGTGGCCCAGTGGCTAAGACCCCACATTTCTAATGTGGGGGGCCGGGAGAGAGGACTGGGTTCGACCTCTGGTGAGGGAACTAGGCCCTGGATGCCACAATTAAAGATCCTACATGCCACAACAAAGATCTAAGATCCCAAGTGCCACAACTAAGACCCAGCATGGCCAAATAAATTAATTTTTTCCCCCAAAAAAATTACATTAAAAAATATATATATTCTTCAGTACCGTTAAGTATTCAGTAAATGGTGTCAGAGCTTCCCAGGTGACACAGTGGTAAAGAATCCACCTGCCAGTGCAGGCGATACGGGTTTGATCTCTGGGTCAGGAAGATCCCCTGGAGTAGGAAATGGCAACCCACTTCAGTATTCTTATCTAGAAAATTCCCTGGACAGAGGAGCCTGGTGGAGTCCATGGGGTTACAAAGAGTCAGACACACTGAGCAACTGACCACAAATAAAATGTTTATTCATTTTTATAAGACAATTCTGTCTGTCCACAACTAAATCCTCTCCTAGAGCTATCCCCTATTACCCAACTCAACATTTCTATACTCAAGTCTGCTCAGGAAGATAAAAGATGCTTTTTACCTTGCCCCAAACCTTTCAGGTGTCACTGAAAGGACTTATGGTATTTGTAAGTATGTGCTGGGGTTGCAGAAAACTTTAAGATACACCTTGTTTCCTACTTACCATACTGTGATGAGAAAATGTGTTCCCTGAAGCAGGCTGTGATATGGCACTCTGCTTCGAGTTACTGAACACCAGAGGCTGGGCAAGAGAAGGAGCCTGAGAGGGATCCAGATTAGATGAATCATTCTCCATGGAAGATGGTGTCTTTCCCAACAGAACAGCAAGGTCAATTCTAGTGGAGAGAGAAAGTTTGATGAATAATGACAGAACATTCTTGTCTCCAATACCCGACTCAGATTAAGGATAGATCAAAAGGAAGTCACTCCGCAGAAACACAAAGCCCTAAAATGCTGAACTCATCAAAAATAACAGATGTATGAGTCACAATAGTATCCAGATGTATTCCAATGGAGTTGACATCCTTAATGTTATTTAAATTTTTAATTTTAGTGAAATTTAACTTAATGAAATATCAAATGTTAGTTTTAATATAGCAGCTCCATAACTGGCCCAAAATTAACTAACTTTTAGCCATGATTTTCATACTGAATACCTGTCATGACCAATATCTAAGACCACAAGCAGAATGCTGGCATCCTCTGGTGGCTTTAGAACAAGGATTTAGGCAATTTTTTCCCCAGTTTTTAAAAAATTCTAGAAGTCACCTGTGGTATAATAAAAGCATATACTAGGGGCTTGGCAAATTTCCTTAGTAAGAGGGTATATCTTTTATTTTTCATAATTGGTCCCTTTCAACCACAGTTTAAGATAATAGTTACTTGGGGAGGGGGACCCCCACACACATAGTTTTGAGAAGGTGGCTGGTCACCAAAAACACCAAGAAAGTGAATGAGAGTTGGAACTTTCAACCCCACTACACTCCACCCACCTCTAGGAAAGGAAGGGGAATTAAGAGATTGAATTCAATCACCAAAGACTTAATCAATCATGCCTATGTAATGAAACTTTGATCAAAACCTCTTGAACAGTGAGATTCAGTGAGCTTCTGGGCTGATGAACACATATGACCCACAGGAGGGCAGAACACCCGGAGAGGGCTTAAAAGCGCCATGCTCCACTTCCCACACCCTGGCCTGTGCATCTCTTCCATTTGGCTGTTTCTGAATACTGGTTAAACTAATAAATCAGGAACGTCAAGTAAAACTCTTTCCTGTATACGATCAATCATCCTAGAAAATTCTTGAATCTGAAGAGGGGGCTGTGAAAACCCCCAAATTTGTAGCCAGCTGAGCAGAACTCTGTGAGTAGCCTGGGCACCTCTGCAGAAAGGCTGTCCTAGAGTACTGAGCAGTCAACTTGGGTCTGTGCTAACTCAGGAGAGTTACTGTCAGAACTGAATTAAACTGCTGAACGCTTAGCTGAACACACAACCTGTGTGGGGAAAAAATCACAGATATTTGGTGTCATTAAAAACAACAACAACAATTAACCTCAGTTAATGACATCCTTAACATCCTATTCTTATCACACTTCTCATTAGGACATTCTTAGTCAGTTCAGTTCAGTCACTCAGTCGTGTCTGACTCTTTGCAACCCCATGGACTGCAGCACAACAGGCTTCCCTGTCCATCACCAACTCCTAGAGCTTGCTCAAACTCATGTCCATCAAGTCGGTGATGCCATCCAACCATCTCATCCTCGGTCATCCCCTTCTCCTCCTGCCTTCAATTTTTCCCAGCATCAGAGTCTTTTCCAATGAGTCAGTTCTTTGCATCAGGTGGCCAAGGTATTGATTGGAGCTTCAGCTTCAACATCAGTCCTTCCAATGAATATTCAGGGTTGATTTCCTTTAGGATTGACTGGTTTGATCTTCTTGCAGTCCAAAGGACTCTCAAGAGTCTTCTCCAACACCACAGTTCAAAAGCATCAATTCTTCAGCATTCAGCTTTCTTTGTGGTCCAACTCTCACATCCATACATGACTACCAGCAGAACCATAGTTTTGACTAGGCGGACCTTTGCTGGCAAAGTAATGTCTCTGCTTTTTAATATGCTGTCTAGGTTGGTCATAACTTTTCTTTCAAGGAGCAGGTTCTTTTAATTTCATGGCTGCAGTCACCATCCAAAGTGATGTTGGAGCCCAAGAAAATAAAGTCTGTCACTGGTTCCACTGTTTCCTCATCTATTTGCCATGAAGTGATGGGACCAGATGCCATGATTTTAGTTTTTCTGAATGTCGAGTTTTAAGCCACCTTTCTCTCTCTCGTTTTTCACTTTCGTCAAGAGGCTCTTTAGTTCTTCTTCACTTTCTGCCTTAAGAATGGTGTCAGCTGCATATCTGAGGTTATTGGTATTCCTCCCAGCAATCTTGATTCCAGCTTGTGCTCATCCAGCCTGGCATTTCCCATGATGTACTCTGCATAGAAGTTAAATAAGCAGAGTGACAGTACACAGTCTTGATGTACTCCTTTCCCAATTTGGAATTAGTCTGTTGTTCTGTGTCCAGTTCTAACTGTTGCTTCTTGACCTGCATATAGATTTCTCAGGAGTCAGGTAAGGTGGTCTGGTATTCCCATCTCTTTAAGAATTTTCCAGTTTTTTTGTGATCCACACAGTCAAAGGCTTTGGCATAGTCAATAAATCAGAAGATGTTTTTCTTGAACTCTCCTGATTTTTCTATAATCCAATGGATGTTGGCAATTTGATCTCTGGTTCCTCTGCCTTCAAGCTGGATTCTGAGTCAGTAACTATCATGAAAGTGAAAGTTAAAAGTCACTCAGTCATGTCCAACTCTTTGCGACCCCATGGACTATACAGTCCATGGAATTCTCCAGGTCAGAATACTGGAGTGGGTAGCCTTTCCCTTCTTCAGGGGATCTTACCAACCCAAGGACACAACACAGGTCTCCCACATTGCAGGCGGATTCTTTACCAGCTAAGCCACAAGGGAAGCCCAAGAATACTAGAGTGGGGTAGCCTATCCATTCTCTAGTGGATCTTCCCAACCTAGGAATTGAACCGGGGTCTCCTGCTTTGCAGACGAATTCTTTACCAACTGAGCTATCAGGGAAGCCCTACAGCTATCATATCCAGGTCCAGAAATAATCCAAGAGTTTTTCAGGGGATAAAATATTCCCTAACAAGTGTTACCTCCCTCTATTGATCCCTACTTATGTTCAAGTCCTAAAAAATTTGTAAGATAGATGCTAGGGGAAAAAATGATCATCATACTCAGTTGGCTAAAGCAAAGATATACTTAAAAAGCAAGAGAAGAAGCTACTGAACAGTTCTGCAAATTCTGAAATAAATCATATCTTTCCACTTTTAGTTTTTCTTAACCCAACTTACTGTAAGTTTATATTATTCTAAGTTTTCATCAATATCCAGGATGCTGACTAGGCTAATGTATATATCTATTTTTTTCTGATGTATGTATTAATAAAGGACTATACGGAAGAGAGTTAACTTTAAAATTATAGTATATAGATTTCCATTCAGTAGATTAACTACTATCAACTCTTACAAAAACCTACCTATAAACTAAATAAGACCATAATGTAATTTAATTCTCATTATTATCAATACCATGGGCGTTCATAAAGGCCCAGTACCACTCCTTCCTTACAGCTCACTTAGCAGCTCCCTTTGAGAAAAGATACTGATAATTCACACCACACACTTGCCTCTGACCAGCAGTGATTGTCACATTCTCCGCAGGCAGAGGCACTGAAGACACATTAGAGGCAGTGAAGATCTTGGTCTCAGAAAGCTGGAAAACAGAGGAATTAGTCACTCCGAGTGTTAGGCTAGATATAGTCCAGAAACCTGGCAGAGGTAAAGGGAGTGCAACGTCTAAGAAAAAGGGAAAAATTCCTCGAAGAGAAAACTATTTACCCTAAGGAATCCTGAATGGACTGACTTTCAAGCCCCTTCTATCTATCTCTATAGATCCTATCAAAAGAGAGAGCAAAATCCATGAACCCAATAAAACCTAGTGGAGTCACATAATATGCACCCTGAACTTACTTACAAGAAGGTGAATATGCTAGATAGAAAAATAGAGAAAGCCCCTTTATATTTTCCCACTATGCCTCCCAACTCCTACCTTAATCCAAACCATACTTTATCTCCCACTAATCCTCTCAAAGAAAGGAAGATTCCAGCCAAAATGAAGACAAAAATAAAAAGAATTCTTGGCTGTTGAGCAGTAAGGGCCCAAGTTCTGATGTGTTGAAATTTAGAGGAATAATTTTAACGTGTTTTGCCTTAAAACTGACTTTAATCCATCTAGTCTCTCTCCTATAAAACACTAAAATCAGTAAGCAATTAGAGGGAATAAATATTCCTACTGTTCAAAGTTGATTTAATTTTTTAGCCATGCTGCCCAGTGTGTGGGAGCTCAGAGTTCCCCAACCAGGAATTGAACCCTATCCCTCCGCAGTGGAAGTGTGGAGTTCTAACCACTGGACTACCAAGCAATTCCCCAAAGTTTAAAAAACCGTTTTTTAAAAAAACTTTCTGATTGAAGCCTCCCCTCTAAAGACAGGGAATTCACTCGCCCCAATATATCATTCTCTGAAAGGTGGTTAAGCAGACAAGCCAAATCTTAGGAAGTATTTAAAAAGCAGTCTAGCTGAGCTACAATAGAAAAGAATCACACTCCGATGCTGATATATCTGGAATTTTAAAACTCAGCCCCGAAAACCAAAACAGCTTGACACACCGTTTCCTCTTACCATATTCTGTCTTGCTTGAGTAAATACAAATACAGGAAAGTTCATCCATGATCATTATAATTCACAGCAAAGGCTTGACTGACCAGCGATCAGCAAAATCCTTTTACTCAGGTACTACTCCAGTGAATTCACATAGCTGTTTATGTGCCACTCATCTATGAGGTTTCTTAGTCACTGGAGGACAGCCAAACCTACATAGTCATCTCAATTAAAATCACCCAAGTTGGGCTCTGAGTACAATAACAAAATGGGTTTCAGAGTCAACCAAACTTTCACCATGTACCCACCTCTAAACCAATTACAGGACCGTACACCAAAGCCTGAATGTGAACCAAATAACTGCACTGCTCCAAGGAGTGTCATGTGCTACCAGAAGCTACCTGCCTGACTCCATCTCTGGTGCCCTACCCAACCACCATTGCTTCCTGGGATAAATCCGACAATCAGATATTGGACTTACACAAGTGCACTTGCCCTTTCCATAGTCTGGTTCCAGAGAGTCCTGTTCATGCCCAGTCTCCTTCATATAACATATGTGAAATGTTCTGGCTCAGAACACTATTTTGGATGTAAAAGTTTTGGGTCAGAATCTTAAGGGTGAATTTTGAGGGGTAGAATCATACCCATTTTCTATCCCTAAAACATCACTTAGGGATAGAAGGTACTAATGAGGAATAACATGGGAATACTTACATCTTCATTCCAATCTTCAGTTCCCCACTCCTCTGTTGCAGTCCTCCATGCACCTGGGAATGAAGGAAAACATGGTGAAGTAACTTTTAATGCCAGTACAAAGCATGTGCAGAAAATACTAATGCATTAAATTTTTTGGCAGCCAAAAGTGTAACCAGCATTTAGTAATCAGAAAGGATTCTTGGGCTTCAGAGGGAGGAAGAGACTTTAGAATACTTCAGAACACCAGGGTTCTAATTAGATTAAATTTCACAGCTACTTTCAGTTTTTGTCACACAGCTGTAATAGGAAAGAGCATGAGACAGCAAGAGAGAGGAACAAAATACAAGAGAGAGCAAGACTCCAATAGACCCAGCACTCCAAGCAATCTCTTATAGCCCTTCAGGCCTGACTCAGTGGTCTGTTCAGTGAAACGGCAGCGGACAATTCAAGCCAAAACATGCACACTCTATTGAGTATAAGATAATATTGCCAGCAGTCCGAAGAGACGTGGCAGCAGGGGCAGAGGAACACAAATGGTCTCAGTTGAAGGGCAATGAAGAAGGCAAGGCCTGAAATCCAAACAGAGCACTGACACCTATCTGCTATGGGAACTGAATTAAAAAACCCCGCTGGCTGTTATTTTCAGAAGACACAAGGTAAAACTTGAAAAATCAAGTTCGTGTGGTAATTACTGTACTAATCCTAACTATACAAGACATGAAATCTGACCTGCTGAGCTCATGGCACAGACAATGGAGTTATACATTCTTCTCCTGTTGGTAATAACGTAGTGCAGATATAGTTTCGGTAGGAGAGGTCCATAAATAATCAAACTATCTTCCACATTCCCCTTGTTTTGCTTCACATATACACATGTCCACCCCTCAGAAAAGGAACCTGCCTTTTCTTAAGGAATATGGGTGAGTTTCTTTTCTTTTTATTTTTTTTGGGTGAGTTTCTGAGACCTAAAATTCTTCCCTTCAAGCAAAGGACCACACTAAGAAATAGTCACTTATCTGTAGGAAACACAAGAAAAACTCCTGGTTTCCTTCTCTAGAATAACAGTATATATTTAATAATTTTTTTTTTTTTAATAATTCTTACAGCATTCTCTCCAAATGGAGAAAACTTCTTACAAGAATCAAAGAATGAAGGTCTGGCATTCAGATTTCATGGTCACTGAAAATAAACATTCTAATACCTACAAAACCCATTTGAAATCCTTCTGAACATTTAATAATGAAAAATCCTATTTCCTAGAAAAAAATATGTCAGTGCAATGCCTTTCCCAGGACAGTGTTAAAACTGTACCACAGAAATTTCAAGCCACTTAACAATGACAATGTTCTCCAAATCAAATAAGTCCAACCTCAATTTAGACAAGCTACAAACAACATTCTTCTCCCCCTCTCTGGTGATACCATTCTTCCTCCCCATTGACATCCATCCCACCGTCATTAACTGGAATCCAAAATGTGGGTTAACACATACACACAATCCTAGAATTAGAAGTGATCTAAGAAGTTACATACTACTTAGAAGCTATCTCTCATGCAAGAATTTTCTTCCCCTGCACTCTGGTGACTGTATCTGGAATGGAAAGGAAGACTGTAGACAGCTACTTGACACCTTCCTATACCGGACATATGGTTACAGCTAAGGAAAAAAAGACTACACACTGAGGAAGCATTAAGACGCAGAAAGCGTTCAAATGTTCTAACAACAGATTAGGGCTTCCACTCCATCAGCAAAAAGCACAGACAATGTAAATATTAAAATGTTCATTAAGCAATTTTCTAAGTAAGAAAAACAGGCACAGAATAAAAGGAAAAAGCAGAAAAATAAAAAGCAGGAAGACATAAAGATGACATATCCACAGATATTTCAGTTCATAAAAATCTATTAAATATCCGGGGCAGTTAGGCGCCTGGATGTATCATACCAGGAGCAGTCTCAAATTTTCGGGGATAATTTGACCCCTCAACCCCAATGAAATCAAGTCCTGAAACAAAAAAGAAAAGAAAAGAAAAAACAACCAGTGAAATTTTGCTTGTGAATGAGAATGATTGCCCCCAACACACAACTCCCACTGTACCTGTGGATATTTTAAGGGTAGATTTCAGTCTCTTTTTAAAATAAAAAGGGAATTTGAAGTTTGCTATCATGAAAACATAAAAAGAGATCATGCATGAAGAGTTCAAGTCATCAAACTACCACGGCTGAATCACGGAGCTGACTAAACACTGACGAGATGACAGCAGCAGCAGAGTCTCATTTGGCCACAAATCAACAGCTCCGATTCTGGCCTCCCAGATCTGCTCCTCTCCACACGGTGTACACACACACACACACACACACACCTCTTCCTTTCCTCTTCTTCCAACCAACCTAGGACTGCAACTCCATGCCTAATTTTCTGTCCACAACTAAAAACAAATCCCTCAACTTCTGTTATTCAGACTGCTACCAATGCTCTAAAAAGCCATCAAGAGATGAATGAAGAGCAGTTCTAATACCTCCAAAGTTAAAATAGAAAAGGACATTTCATAGCCAATAAGGAAGCTCAAAAAGTTACCTAGCTTGACAATAACTTTAGCCTCCACCCCTGAGAAATTCATATTCAAAATGAGCTTTTAAGACAGCTTGATGGAAAAAAAAAAAAAAAGACAGCTTGATGAACAAAAAGCACGTAATATTCAGGGCCTGAGGTAAAGCATACTGTGGGCAGTAGATGAGAAGAAGTTTGTGCCAAAGACCTTCCTAAAGATGCAAGATTAAGGTAACAGATCTCTGAAAGGGGGGCAAGGCAAATTTAAGTGGATAAGGAGTCAAGAGAGCCTATTTCATGCTCCTCTATTAACCCATCCCCTCTTTACAAGACAAAAAAAGTCTCAGGCTTTTCTTTCCATGTGCTGACTCAGCCAGAACGAGATAGCTGATCTCCTCAGAAGAAAATACTCTGGAACCCAGAGGCTGCTCTCATTTAAAGTAATAAAAGTATCTTACTTCCAAATACATCTTGATGTGTCCCACAAGCCTAACATACCCACAAACATCTATGCTACCCAGATATGCACCAAAATCAGCTAACAAAAAAAAAGCAAATCCCATAATACCCTACCCACACCCAGAACACTATCCAACAATGAGAGGCTGAAAGTCTCCAGATTTTCTTCTTGCCCAGATACTGAGTATTTCCCAAAAATTAAAGGGAAAAGACATTCCTATCTCTGTACACAAAAACAAATTAACAGTGGGCTTTGATTCTGGGCCCTGTTCACCTCTACAAGCAGTGGTTTGATTAATCCTGGATATCTTGTCAAAAGGCAAAGCCAAACAGAAACACTAGGAAATACAACTGGGAGCTGATGGTATAATGGAAAGAGTATGGCCTTACAGAGTCAAAAAATTCTGAGTTCAAATACTAGCAAATTTCATAATCACTCCTGCAATCTAAATCTTGTCATCTGAAAAGTGACAATAAATAATGTTTGTTTTATAAAATAAGTGAGAGATCAGGTGAAACAGCATGTACAATGTGCCTGTAGGCACACAATAAATACAGACTACACAGTAATACAACTGTTATCCCTTTCTCTCCCTGTCTCAGCACTCAGGAGCTATACCTCCACTTTTTTATGTTAGTATAATCTCAAAAAAATTACTTCCTTAGGTTTCTAGAGACAAAAAATGAATAAAACAGTCACTCACTCGTCCCATCATCTGGTTCAAAGTGGCCAGTGTTGTTCCATGTATTGCCGCTGTTATTGCCATAGTTATCATCAGTATTGGCCGGCTCTGCATAATCAGCTGGGTTAAAGGTTCTGGGAGAAAAAATAAATAAAAAGCTTAAGAGCCTCTGAGCTCTAAGCAACATCAGTTAAAATTAACTCAAAAGGAGGACAATTAGAAACTTGTCTGTTCACTTTTCCTCATTTTACCAGCTTACCTAAAATTTCATGATATAATCTTATATATATCTATCACTCCCCTTGCATTAGCACACCGATAAAATCCACATGAAGATTTTGGAAAAACAGCAGGTATATACATTCATATGAAGTTATGAGATAAAGTAATCCAGGTGGTAAATGCTTATCTCACTAAAATAAGCCCAATGTCTACACACATCTGATGAAATAGTGTAGCAATCTGTCTGATCACATTTGGTTACTTAGCTGCCTATTAATCCTCAGGATACCAGAATATTAACCACATCAAGCTACTATGGTAACAGTTATGAAAAAAAATTGAAGACTTTGACATTGGATCAATGAAACTCACCCCATTCCTTGAGCAGAAAATCTTCCTCCGCGCCTACCAGAGCCACCTAAAGAGGGAGAGGGATACATTTTAAAAGTTGATATAAAACCACCACACCAACTGAGGCAACTTTGGAAAGTAGGTGGTTGACATTATTAGATGTTCCTTCTCTCACTCCGCAGCACATCAGTTAATACAGGAGGACAATCCTTATTACTGACAAGATTGTTTCTTTGGTGACTGAACTGCTGGATCCTTAAGCAAATACAGTAATAACAATAAATACTAGAGGAAATGATGTTTACCTTCATTCCCACTGCCCTCACAGTAATCTCTAGAATTTGCACTACATCTCAACAATTAAGGTATCCAGCATCCATTTGAATTTTTTTTTTAAAATAAAGCAGACCCCTACTAAACTAGTAAGAGTAGCATGTCCCCATCATCCATTCCCCCAACAAACTGATCACCTCTGCCTCGGCCACGACCTCTTCTGCCTCTTTCTGTGCCTCTTCCAGAAGGCCCTCCACTCTTGGTGCCATCTAATCCATTTTCCTGACCTCGAACTGAAATTTAAAGACAAAACACTACAAATGGCCAGAGTCAAGTGAATAGAAAAAATATATATAAACGGCATGCATACATGATTGGGGGGAGGGGGGGCAAAAACAAAGAAGAGAAAATGAGCTGGAAGGACAGAACATGATGGTTACTAGGGAAATGGTTCCCAGTCAAAAAATTTTACAAACAGCTAACAAGGTAATTTCATGCTAAACTGGTGGCTGTTGCTAAAAAAAACTCTATGTAAGAAATGCCAAGATCTCAGAACAGATGATTGTAAGAAAAATTAAAAAGATAATGGTTACTAGGTCCAGCCTCACAAGGCCCTGACATCCCTCAAGTCTAGACATTACTAACCCACAGCTGGTTTTGTTAAAGCCCCATGCATACACTCTCGTCCACGGCTGGCACCTCTTCCCCGTCTTGGTGGCCCACCACGTCGCCGACTATAGTCTCTGTCGCGGTCTCGATTTTCTTTGCCTTCCTCGTTGGATTCCGTTTGGCCACCATCCTTCTGTCCTGAGACACCCTTCTTCTTCCCGACCATCTCCCAGGAATGCTAAAGAAGGGAAGAGCATTCATGTCAAATCAGTACAGGCTGCTACCAGGAAACCAGGAAACAGTTGGGACAACTGTTAACCATTCTCTCTCAGTATCCATATCTAAGATACTTCTATAAGTTTACTTCTGTTTAAGTTGAGGGTATAGACAGAACCTCAAAACAAATTCTGCACCTATCACTGCAAAATTGAAGCCCTTTCTATGGAGGAGATGCTTATGAGCAAATGGACTGCAGGAATCATTCCCAAAAGAATCACCAAGATCTCAATCCAGTTCAGTCATTCGATGTCCCCTTAGTCAAAGGGCCCAGTTATTTACTGGTCCTTTCTTTCAAGTGCGTTTCCTGGGCTGAAAACACTAGTTCCCTATGCATTCAGTAATTTCCAATTTTTTATAGCCTTATCCATGTCAAATAAAACCGAAAACTCAAAATTTCTAAAAGTTAACTTTAAATTCAGAGTGAATGAACAGCATTTGACTCTTGAGTACAGTCTCTAATTAAGTAACCTAGAATTTAGAAGGAAAACAACTACACCTGCTCCCTAACCCACCCCTTCCACACACACCAATTTCCTTTATTTAAAAGAAGACCAAATAGCAGTCAGGAAAGCACAGCCCTGGCCCTGAGACATGCTGACTATAGGAAGCATGTCTGGTTTTACTGTGTTCTCCTTACACATCTGAAATTGCTATAATACAATTCAACCTTCCTCAAAACAGTTCAGGAATAAATATTTATAGCAAGGAAAATAAGCTAAACAGCCATGCAAAAACTTATTCCTTAGGAAAATGAATTTTATAAACTTAAAAGTTCTTTTTTTTGTCTTGTTGTGTGGCTTGCAGGTTCTCAGTTCCCTGACCAGGGACTGAACCCAGGTGCTCAGCAGTCAAAGAGTAGAGACTAACACACACATATACTGATTTATAATGTTTGCAGAAAATATGTACAAATAAGTTCAAACATGTACAAGTAAGTTTCAGTTCAAATGCCAAGACTATCATGTTTACCATCCTGGATACCAGGATTCCAAATACCAAATGACGTAATACCAAATTATAATGGCCCTGTTTGCTCAGTAACAGCTATCAAATAACTTTAAAAATATGGAATAGTAACATGAAATTACTATTAATTTTCTCAGGGCTAACAATAATTTGTCATATAAAAACAGTATCCTTTTAGGAAAACATGCTGAAGAATTTAGGAAAAGTACTCTGATGTCTACAATTTATTTCCAAATAATCCGAAGTGTTCACCAATGATGAGTGGATAAACAAAATGTGCTATAAACATGCAACAGAATATTACTCAGTCTTCCAAAGAACTGAAATTCTGACACAAGTCACAATACAGATAAACCTTAAAAATATTTTGCTAACTGAAACACAAAAGGACAAATATTTGATTCCACTTTTATGAGGTACCAAGAATAGGCAATACCTTATATGAGATACCGAAAACACAAGATGTTACCCGAGCTGGGAGTAGGGAATGAAAAGCTAATTGTTTTATGGATATGGTTTCTAACTGGAAAATGAAAAAGTTCTGGAAATGGATAGTGGTAATGGTTGTACAGGAGCGTCCCAGGTGGCTCAGTGGTAAAGAATCCACCTGCCAAGCAGGAGACACAGTTTGGATCCTTGGATCAGGAAGACACCCTGGAGGAGGTCAAGGCAACCCACTCCAGTATTCTTGCCTGGGAAATCCCATGGACAGAGGAGACTGGCAGGCTATGGTCCATGGGGTTGCAAAAGAGTCAGACACAACGTGGTGACTACACAACAAGAATGACTGTACAGCACTGTGAATGTCTTTAGTGACAAAGAACTGTTTACTTAAAATGGTTAAATTGGTCAATTTCCTCTAGTGTATTTTACCACAATTTAAGCATTTTTAAGTTCCAAAACAAGTAAATTTAAAACTATACTAAAGGGTGCCATGGAGCAACTAAGCCCACACACTGCTACTACTCATGTCTGTGTGCCTAGAGGCTGTGCTCTGCAATGCGAAGCCACCGCAATGAGAAGCCCGCGAACCGAAAGAGTTGCCTGCACCTGCCGCAACTAGCCCTCTAGTACTCTTGCCTGGAAAAGTCCCATGGATGCAGGAGCCTGGTAGGCTGCGGTCCATGGGGTCGCTAAGAGTCAGACACGACTGAGCGGCTTCCCTTTCACTTTTCACTTTCATGCATTGGAGAAGGAAAAGGCAACCCACTCCATTGTTCTTGCCTGGAGAATCCCAGGGACGGGGGAGCCTGGTGGGCTGCCGTCTATGGGGTCGCAGAGTCAGACACGACTGAAGCGACTTAGCAGCAGCAGCCACAACTAGAGAAAAACCCTTAAGCAGCACTGAAGACCCAGCATGACCAACTAAAAATAACTATACTAAAGGAACTTCCCTGGTGGTCCAGTGGTTAACAATTCGCCTTAAAATGCAGGGGACACAGGTTCAATCCCTGGCCATGAAACTAAGATCTTGCGAGCCACACAGCTTGGCCAAAAAAAAACATTAAGCATCCACCTAGGACCCAGCAGCAGCGTGTTGCCTATTCTTCCAACCCACCTGATTCCACATTAAGTTGTAGGTCACTTTATGCTCATAGTAGCTTTAATTCATAAATTATAGTAACCTCATACCTAAACCTGCCATCAGGAACTCTGGAAACGAGACTCAAAACAGTCAGTCCTTAGGAGTTTGTGCTAATCTGTTATCAAAATCTGGAAGGTTTCAGAAACCTGTCACCTTTTAGCTTCTTTATGGTTATTTATCAGCTGCTGGCACCAGCTGGTTTTATACATAAAAAGAATTATTTACTATGCTTTGCCCAAAGGCACTGCCAGTTTTCTGATATGATCTCATCCACCCAAATACATGCAACAGTCCTGGCAGCTGACTGATTCCCATTGGTTTCACTAGTTGCTAGTTTATTTGGGAAATAAACCTACATTCTCCAGCTTATTTTTTTAATACTGTGGAAGAAGGTCAGACTTCTAGTACTAGGAAAGTGAAACAAAATGTGACTTGTGCAAAAAAAAATTTTTTTTCACATTTTTTCTGCTATGCAGTATGTAGGACCTTATCCCCCAACTAGGGATCAAACCCATGGCCAGTGCATTGGGAGCTTGGAGTCTTAACCACTGAACTTTCAGGGAAGTCTCAAAAAAAAAATATACACTTTTAGAAAGCATAGGTAGTCCCACTTCCATCTCCATCCTACTCCCTGAAAAATCCTGCGGCAATTATTCCAGAGTAAACTCAAAATGAACCAAAACTGCTATCTGATTATTTAGGAAGTAATTTTCAAACAAAAGCAATAATGTAAAACCTAATCTGGGGCCACACTTTTGAAGACAAAAATCTACAAATCTAAATTCAATGATTAAAAACAGTTTTCACTATTATTTCCCATTGTCTCAAAAAAACTGACAAACCTTCAACATTCAGCTAAAGTAACACTGTAACATCAATCAGTTACCCTAAGGATGAAATCTGGTTATCAATCTCAACCAAAAATCCCCTGAGTAAGATCAAGTAAATAAAAATGACTTCAAGTGATACACTGCTCATTTAAAAGACTAATAATAAAGGTCTCTACTAAACACTGCAGAATATCCCAAAGATAATTTAGTAAAGCACAATCCTATTCTTAAGGGACATAACAATCTTAATACAATAGTAAGACAGTAACAAAACACAGCATTCTCATGAAGTGGAAAGGAAAGGAGAGGAAGAGGTGAAATCAACTCTAAATTCCAGGGCAAGTTCCTCCCATATCCCCTACCATCTCCAGGAATGGTCAACAAGCTGTAAAGTTTGTTTCTTGGGCTTCCCTGATCATCCAGTGGTTAGGAACCCACGTGTCAATGCAGGGGACATGAATTGGATCCCTGGTCTGGAAAGATCCCAAATGCATCGAAGCAACTAAGCCCTCGAGCCACGACGACTGAGCTCAAACGCTGAAACTACTAAAGCCCGTGTGCCCAGAGCCTGTGCTCTGCAACGAGAAGCCACCAGTGAGAAGCCACCACAGTAAGAAGCCTGCGCACCTCAATGAAGAACAGCCCCTCGCCACAACTAGAGAAAGCCTGAGAACAGTAACAAAGGCCCAGTGCAGCCAAAAATTCATGAACAAAATAAATTATTTTCAAAAAAGGATTCTTTCTCTGCTACTTCAACAAAAGTAAGTTCACATGATAAAAAGGTATTGTGAAAAAAAAAAGTTATTGTGAAATGTAAAGCTGATATTGCTGGGAATGTTCTGAAATCAGAATCCAGTTAAGGGCTGTGGCTCTCTGTTCAACAGCGATAAAACAAGTGAACAAGAAATCTTCTATTAGTAACTAAGGCTATTTAGCAGCAACTCTTAATTCAGACTAACCAAGTCTTAAAAGTAGTCATTAGCCTAGAATCAACAATTATTCCAGGCCAACTAAAAGAAACTGATTTTATCTGTTTCTCCTATTTATTGCACATAAATTTTAAGTGTTTACAACCTCCAGCAAATAATCTCCAAGGCAGTTCCTTGCTTTATTTGGAGAATAAGAGAGTATGCTTTAAGTTGACCCCTCTTGCTATTTTTGGAATTTACTAGCCTTTCAACCAGGGACCCACTTTCTAGAACACTTTATTAGCACTCTACCGTATCTGGGTTTCCTTCCAGCAGTACATTGATGGCTCTGTTGACATCTCCATTGCAGTCATGCAAAGCAATGACACATTCATCCTGGTTCTTGCCTGTGATATCAATCAACTGAAAGAGAAAGATCAACCATTATGAACAAGTTTGCACTCCCCAAAAAAGGAAAACAGATGAAGGAAAGGGAGAAGACACAGCTGAGTTTGAATCAGGTTTAAAAAAGCAAAACATGCAGAATTTTGACATTCTAGCTCCAAAAGCAAAACATTAACATCTGTGATTAAGGATGGGGCAAAAGTATTTATAAATCAATCGAACATAAAGTATCTAATAATCAAATGCAGAAACAAACAGGCTTCAGCATACCATGACTCTCCATATTTCCTAGATATCACAAATGCTAAATGTTGCTGTACAACAGTACTAACAAATTCATTCAATAAAGAGGTTAAAATTAAGATAAAATCTCTTTGAATCAGGTATCTGTCCAAAGGGGCACAGTAAATCAGACAATAAAAGCACTCATGTATTGGCTTAACCTATCATATTTCAAGTCAAAATTCTTTTAATACCTAAAGTAGAAAGTATCCTGGTAGGCATCAATCCTATTAACTGTGCTTTAATCTTCATGTTTTTTCCCACAACTTATGGCGAATCAAAAATACACTCACCTGTTTCACCTTTTCCTCAAAGTCAGCATCATTATGGTCCGAAATCATCTGTGCAAGTCGAATTTGTTCTGCAGTGGCCTAAAAAAGCAAGATCAAGAGACAACAGCTTAGAGAAATGAGAGGGACCAACAGTCAACTGGGCTTCCCAGGTGGCTAAGTGGCAAAGAATCCACCTGCCAAGCAGGAGATGCGGGTTCGATTCCTGGGTTGGAAAGATGCCCTGGAAAAGGAAATGGCAACCCACTCGAGTATTCTTGCCTGGGAAATCCCATGGACAGAGGAGCCCGTCTGGCTATAGTACATGGGGTTGCAAACGAGCCTGACACAACTTAGCCACTGAACAACAACAATCAATATTCATCATCTCCCACCCTGATTTCCTTCTCCCTGTTACACACGACCAAGTAATAAAACATTTCCACCACTTCACTTCACTTCAGTTGCTCAGTCGTGTTCGACTCTCTGCGACCCCATGGACTATAGAGCCACCAGGCTCTTTCCACCAGTTAAGATGCTCAAATGAGCAAAACAACAGAGTGAAACTGTCACTATTTCACACTACCTTCTCTAAAAAAGCACAGAGTTTTTCTCTTATGTTCACAGTTAGACTCATTTTGGGATCAAATACCACTTTGAAACATCTGTGCCTTAATTCAATTTCATGTATTTGCAAAGTCATGTGAAAACCCTATTCCTGTTTCTGTAATGATCACTGTCATTCTTATTCCCTAGGGATGAGAATAGCATAAGGTTTAGTCTGAGGATACACTGAGCATATCCTCCAAGTATCCAATGTATGCTTGTAAGATGTCAGAAATTTTAGCCCCAGCTGAGATAAGTACTAGAATTCTGCTAGAAATTCACCTGGAAAGAGAAGCAAAAGAAAAATGAGTAAGAGAAAAGTTCTAATCTTAACATTCAATTTATCTGACCATAACCAAATGTTAACTGATTCATTCACATGAGGTGCCAACAAATACCAAACTGGTTATTGAAAAAAATCTAAATTCAACTTAAAAAAAAAAAACTCATAAACCTCAGTGCCCAGGAGGTTAATTTACTCGTTAAAACTGAGCAATACTCTAGAGTATCTCATTTGTTAATCTTAAAGGAACACAGTAAAGACGCTAACTCCTCATGGGAAAGGAAAAATCAGATTAGGGCTCAATGGAACGAGAGAGGAAAATAAAAGACAAGTGAGGGAAAAGAGCAAAGGAAAGGAAAAGGTGGGAAGACAAAGATTGGCTAAAGAGACATCAAAATGGAAATTATAGGAAATAAGAAATGTATTGCTGAAACAACCCAGATGAATAAAGGAAACTGCTATCTCAGAAATACAAAGCACAGGACCCATTCTTTCCAAGCCTCATAATGCAGTAAATTAACAATTAAAAAAATTAACAAAAAATAAGCACAAGGCATCAGTGTGTCATTAACAGTTATTAGGCCCCAAGTGAAAAGAGAAAAGGATAAGAAAGTAAAAATAAAGAACCCAAACTAATAACCCAAGCACAGAACGATGCTGTACTAGATGGAAACCAGTATCAACCAGCAAGGCTACCCCATGGATCCATATCCCTTGAGTTCTTTACCTGGGGCCGCTGCTTGTGCTGTGTCTGGTTTTGGTTTTGAGGTGGTTCCCAGTTTCCCCGGGCTCGGTTAGTGCCCACCGACGTCATCATTTACAGTATATACAAATAACAGTATTTACAAGGTAGAATACTGAAAGATTAAAAAAAAAAAAAAAGGAAGAAAAAAAATTTAGATGTTAAATGCAGGTAAAATGTTTTCAACCTTTTTCGTCAACACCTTCACCACTATCATTTCTTCAAAGAACCAACATGCACCTGTTCTTGAGACAGGTTCTTTAGGGTACTAATCCATTTTTGCAGAACAATAAATGTACAAAACATGTGTTAAGTGATGGTTTGTTTATTTGGTTACAGTCCGTTATAAGCAGGTTTTGTTAAGTTTTGCTATCTTGATAGTTAGCAAAACAATGTCAATAATCAAGTTTTCCCATAAGTGAAAATATCCGAAGTCCCTCTGACATAAGGAAAGATAATCAGCAAAGCCTGGAAACAAAAGCCTTCCAGGAAGGGGATTAGCCTATACTTCAAATAAAAACAATTTAAAATGCTGTACTCAACCTACCTTTGAAAACAGCTTTACCTGCCTTACAACATTTTGAATATAAGCTGCATGTGTCCTCCATCATTTGGGAAAGGACAAGCTCAAGTCTAGCCTTTCTCCCTCAAGTTTCTGTCCCTCAGTATGGTGCAGGGGCTCCCACAACTTTCAATAAGGCATGTATTAGCCCCAGTGACTGCTCAGAATCTCAGTTCCTTGGATAATAATTCCAACACCCTGCTTTTGTGGCTGCTTCTGTTGGTTTCCTAAGTCCGAAGTTCCAAGAAACCGGAATGGCAATTACCCTCCACCACTCACCTTAATATACAGAGAATCCCAAATATGTCCTAAATCAAAAGCATTTGGCACAAAGTTTTATTTGGAAGAAAGTCCTTCAGGGAAATCATTTTAAACTTGAGACATTATTGCCAGCAAGATGACTTTGTTGAGTCTTTAAAGAGACAAGGAACACACAGGGCCTTCCCAAAACCAGATCAGTTTTTGTTACAACACTTCTAACAAGCAAAGATTCTATTGAATTTAAGTCGCCTTCATTCATACTTTGTTTTATAATGCAATCTCGGTTGCTATATTTAGTAAACGAAGAAAACATTCATATTGTGGAGTGCTCAAATTGTGCTCATATTGTGGAGGTTACTCTGCATGTTTTATTCCATTCCAAACAGAACAAGTTTATACTTTTCTATATTATTTATTTTTCACTAATAAAACTTCACATAGGGTAATTCTAGGCTGTCCAGAAGACATTGCCAGATATGAGGGACACGTTGGTTGGGTTTCTAAGGAAATATGAAAGCATTAACTATTGAGAGTGAATTTCACCTGTTTCTTGGGTCACAAAGAAAGCTAACTTCCCTGTGGATAAATCCTTCACCCAATTGGGTCAATGTGTCACATAGGTCTTTATTGTTTGATGCAGTCATTAAGAATTAACAGTTCTACATTCCCTATCACCAAGAAAGATTTTCAAGGAAACTTTGGGGCTAATTTTTAACCATTACCTCTTCTCCCTACACATGTGCACAAAAAGCTCTGCAAATTTGTCTAGATAGTACAGGATTATTTGATACACAGTAGTCCATTTCCCCAGGCTGCCATTATTGTGAAATTTCAACACTTAACTTACAAAAAAATCAAGTGATGTTCAACCAAGTACCTAGATTCAAATCAAACAGGAAAAAAAAAAACCTAGAGAAAAACTATTAGGCATTATTATAATTGGCTCAAAGATGAAGATTCTAACCATGGGAGTAGCCTCTCCTAGAACTTACAAAATATAGATTGTGTTCTACTCCACATGTGTTTTCCATTTGTGAGCATGAGTTATTAAGTAGAATTTCATGACTACCTGTAAGGACAATTTCATGTACAGTACCTGCCAGCGTAAATACATTAGTCATGTCAAAACCCACATTAATTACTCAGGAAAGGGGGGGGAACCTCCTGATCATTCTATTAACTTCCATTTCTCTCTTACAAGTGCTTTGAAATGTGTGACTAACAAAATTTTACCACCTATGTAGTAGCAACACTGAGCAACAGGTCAAAAATAAGTGATCTGGGATGGATCACTGCAGGGCACAGAATTAGTAGCCTTTTAGTAGTAAAGAGACACATACCCAAAGTTATCACAGTAGAGGTGAGGATCTTGTTAAGTACTCTTTCATATAGCATAAAAATATTTAATGAAAGTAGGTGAGAAGTATTGGAGACAAGGAACAAATACAGGTTTCAACACAAGAGTGCCCTTGACCATTTTTTGAAAACCAGCTACTTAAAAAAATAGCCAGAGAAATTTTACAGAAAAAAATAAATAACAAGTATTTATTGAATATCTACTATGTGTCCAGTATTTTAGTAAATACAAAAGCAATATGACTTGGTTGCTGCCCTCAGGGAGCTTACAATCTAATTTGAGGAACAATTCGGAAACTCTGAAGCTGGATGGGGATGGGTTAGGCTTGCTACTTCCAAAAGAGCAAATAATTCCCCTAGATGGCTCTGTGGAAATAACCCCTGCAACTCCTTCCCCATCAACTTGAACCTAATTTAAAAGAGTACTTCCCAGTTAGGACACATTTTGGCAAGAAGGGGCTTTAAAAATCATAATCAAAACAGTACATTTTAAGGTCTTTCATCATCAGTTTTCATGCCAGCAACACTTTCCGACTTCCCGTTCACAACGGAAATAATCACCGGGAGAGCCTAATCTTTTTAAGGACAATGGTTGCACGATCTCAAATGCAGTTTTATCAACTCATACACGGCCAAAACGTTTTAGTTCTCCAGGAATTCGGGTTGTCAATGACCCTCATCACATCCCAGAAGTCACATCAGATATCCATCCCCAAAGCAGAAGATGGGCAGTGGAAGTGAATGGGGAGGAGACAAAAGACAAAAAAAAAAAAAAAAAAAACACACACAACAAAACACGATTTCACCATCTAATAATCAGGGACAGTCAAAGGCAAAAGGAAAACAATAACAACAACAAAAAAGGCCTGTTACTGTGGTTTTTCTTTCCACAATATCCTACAGCAGAGATGGCTACATCTCAAGAACAGTGGAAAAGGAGCAGTCTATTTGTGACATCAGTTTGCAAAGCAATTTGAGGACTGCCCACAAGGTGAAGGGTCTGAAGAAATTTGGGATTCCTGTTACATTATGAGAAGCGTGATCAAATACCCCACGGCTCTAATGACGTCCCTTAAGCGTAATATACCCTATGAGGGCTTCCATGCCCAGCTTCCTAGATAACATCATAATTGTTTGGGGTACCCAAAACAACAGTATGGACAACAGGAAGCTAAAGACAGCAGCAAAAAAATATATTCCAAGAGCTGGGGCGGTGAGAAAGAAAGAAAGGTAATAAGAGGAGCTGACAAAGAGGCTGGAAACGGAGAGGGGACGCAAGCCCACGCGTGGAGGATGGGAGGCTCACCCCGCTCAGCACCACATCGGGAGCTCACAAGGCCAATCGCCTCCTTACCTCCCACCCGGAACAAATTAATCCTCCGCACTCCAAACTGAGGGCCACATGGGGGAGTTTGGGGCAGCTCCACCCCATCGTCCTCCCTCCCCCCCTCCCCGCCACCCCTAAACCAGGCCGGATCCGGATCAGAGGGGGCCCGCAGAGGGTTGGAAAGGGAGGAGGCCTTCTCGTTTTCTCCACAGGAACCAGCCAGGGTAAAGAGAGGGCCCTACCTCAGGCGGGGCCCAGGCCTCGCTCACTCGCGCTCTTTCTCGCTCTCCCCCGTCTCAGGCTCTAGCCGCATGGCCCCCCCCCTCCGCCGACTGCCCCAAGCCCCGCCCCGGCCACGCTCCCAAATCGAGGCCCCGGCTCTGGCGCGGCCCACTAGGCCGCGAACCCAACCATAAACAAAACCTCCAGCGGCCGACTCGAGGGGGGCGCCAGGGCTCGCACGACTAGGTGGGGGGGTGTACAGTGGGGAACACAGTACGGGGGGGGCCTACCGAGGGAGGGGTATATGGCGGGGGTAAGGGAGAAAGAAGGGAGGGTAAAAGGGGGATCGCGGATTTAAAGGGGCCGCGGACAATACCCGGCCCCGCCGCGCTGCCGCTGCCGCCGCCGCCGCCGCCAACGCCGCTGCGCTCCCAACTTTACCTCAGTCTCCTCCACACTGACACCCCGGGCCGCGCCGCCCCTGTCACGTGATATAAGGTTCCCTCCTCCCCCCCTCCCCTTTTCCCTCTCGCGCTCGCTCTCGCGCCTTCTCCCTCCCACTTGCCTTCCTGCGTCCCCCAGCACGTGATGCGAAAAGGGACGCGCACGTAAGCGTGCGCGTGCCGCCTCGCCACGAGACACCTCATTCCGGCTGCGCGCGTGTGCCCCGCCTCCTCCGCGGTGGCCCCGCCTCCGCCACGTGACGAGCAGAGGGCCTCTGCTTCCTCTTACTGGCGTAGATCCGCGTCTCAGCACTCGCCGGTCCCGGTTGTCTTTGCGTGCCTGAGTCACGTGCTTGGGGGAAGCGGGAAGGCGTCCTTCTTCTTTCCTAGCCCCCCCCATCCGCCATGTTTTCAGGCCCGGTCAGCCTTGGTCTATGCCCGTAAGGAAATGGCCGGGGAGTTTCAGGAAACCCAGGCGCCGTTGCCTCAGCGGAACCCGGGCTGACGAGGCAGGGCAGCAGGTTAAACCGGAGCACTTCCGCGCGGGGTGGGGAGGCCATGGCGTCCGGCAGTAACTGGCTGTCTGGCGTGAATGTCGTGCTGGTGATGGCCTACGGGAGCCTGGTGAGGAGATTCCCCCACCCCATTCCTGCGGTCGCGTCTGACCCAGTAGAGACCCTCCTCTTGAGCAGTCCCCCGTGTCCTCATTCTCCACCCACTCACCTGCACTTTTTCTGGGCTTTGACTCCTATCCCAGGAGTACCTGGGAGCGTGTCACTGCCTCGGACCGCCCCGCCCCCAGCCGAGAACCCTCCCTCTAAACCCTGGGACGCAGACCCCCCACGCATATCCGCCACAGGTTCGCCCGTACCCACCCCATACGTCGTGGCCTTGCTTTGCCACAACTTATATCCCAAAGCACCCCTGAAAACCTCAATTGAGATTTTAATTGAAGGCATGCCTTTTATTTGTTTAATTTTTTAATTTAAGCTTCTCTGCCTTTTGGACAGGTGTTTGTACTGCTATTTATTTTTGTGAAGAGGCAAATCATGCGCTTTGCAATGAAATCCCGAAGGGGACCTCATGTCCCTGTGGGACACAATGCCCCCAAGGTAGGTCTTTAAAACATGAGATAGGCGTGATTCTCCAGATCTATTAGGGCTCATAATGAGATTTCCTTTGCCTTTAGAAATGACTGAATTCCCATATTTCTTTGTTCTGTTACCCATGTGCTTGCTTTAGTACACTGAGCGGTAAAGGTCATCTTGAGTCCTGGCTTACCTGCTCACTGCTGTGCCACAGCTAGTAACTTATCCAAGGACTTCAATTTCTGCATCTGCAGAATGAAGGACTTGAATTAAAATTCCAAACATTCTGTGGTAAGATACTTCCCTGTTAAACTTAAGCTACCCAGTGTTTTGTGTTTGAGGATTTTATTTTGTTTCTGATTTGGGATGGAGTTAGAGTGATTAGAATTAGCCCCACATCAGTGAGGAGGCAAACTTTGCAAAACTTTAGATTTATGAAGTGAAGTCACTCAGTCATGTCCCACTCTTTGCGACCCTATGGACTGTAGCTGGCCAGACTCCTCTGTCCATGGGATTTTCCAGGCAAGAATACTGGAATGGGTTGCCATTTCCTTCTCCAGGAGATCTTCCGGACCCAGGAATCGAATCCAGATATCCTGCATTGCAGGCAGACCTTTTACCGTCTGAGCCACCAGGGAATCCATTTAGATTTATGAGGGCAGCACAAATCATCTAGTTCCATCATTCATGTTACAAACTGAAACCTAGGAAAAGGAAGCAACTTACTGAGGACATACAGGAAGTGAATAACCAAGTAGTCTCTGTCTCTACTGTCTCCTGAAGATAACTGCCTTTCTTTCCTCACTTTAAATACTCTACTGAAATTTTATTTATATTCCAGTCCTTCCTGAGTTCCACACTTGTGTATCCAAACGCCTTCCTAACATTTCCAGTTAGATGTCTGATAGGCATCTCAAACCTAACATGTCTAAATCAGAACGCTTAATACCCTACTGCCACCCCCATCCTGCTGCTGCTCCTTCCACTTCTGGGTAAAAGGTGCCTGCTGCCCCTACCAACCTCCTTTTGTATGGCTCTCCATTGATCACTGGGATCCAGCTACGCTGGTTGAGTTTCTTGCCTTTATGCGTGCTGTCACTGGGGTAGAATGATCAACCTCTGGTTTTCATGTAGCTAGTTCATTTACTCTTTAGAGCTTACCTCAAATACTATTTCCTAGAAAGAGGAATGCTTATGACTCATTATAAACTAGGTCTTTTTTTTTCAGATAGCATTTTACTACAAATTGTCTTTTATGTGTATTCGTTTAATGCCCGTCTTTTCCCTAAGCTCTAATAATGTAGGCACCATGCCAGTTTTGTTCACTGCTATAGAGCCAGGGCCTACATACAGTAGATAGTTAAAAATTCATTGTTGAGTGAAAAGCAGGTTAGTGGGAGGGCTAGAGCTGGTATACAATTATGTCAACTCCTAGACCAGTGTTCTTTCATTAAATAGTGTTGTAACTCTCTTCTCATTTTTCTTTGCTGGTACATTTCATGGAAAGCCTGAAACCTCAACAGTGCTTCCACATTCTCTCAGTTCTCCAAATGCCAACTGCCTCCCATAAGAAGGATATAGGGTTAGTTTACACTATATCATGAGTCAGTCATATAAGGTTAGTTTACACTATATCATGAGTCAGTCAAAACTTTTGACTATTTAGAAACACCCCACCACTGCCACCCCCTCCCAGCAACCATAGACTAGATGAGATAAGATTCCTTTTGCTCTAAAACATTCTGTCTTAAATTCTTAGCCATTGCTGGTGAAAAGTGTAAATCAGTAAAACTGCTTTGGAAAATATTGGGGTATTGTCTAGTAAGATTGCAAGTGTACCTAAGCCACAGCCCAGCAATTCCATTTCTACCATAGAGAAATTAATTTTTGCATGTGTACCAGAAGACATGTACAAGAATAAAGCATTGTTTGTAATTTTTTTTTAATATGGTATGCTAAACTTCCACTTGAAAATATATTCGTGTTCTGGAACACTATGAGAAATGAAAATAAACTGAAGATAAGAATATGAACACAAATGAATCCCCAAAATATTTTTGAATGGAAACAATAAATTACAAATATGAATGAATCTCAAAAACATGCCGAGTGAAAAAAATGCCAGAAAGCCATTCACAAAAGAGTACATACCATATGATTCCATTCCATTTGTAGAGAATTTTAAAACAGATAAAACATCAATGTTCCCTGGGTCATGGAGGGGGAGTTTAACTGCAGAGGTGGATGAAAAACATTTTGGGATGATGGAAATGTTCTGTATCTTGATTGGAATGGTAGTTGAATAAAAGTATTCATTTGTCAAGATTCATCAAACAACACATGTAAAGTGGATATATTTCTTTGCATGTGAATTAAACCTCAATAAAGTTTATTTAAAATTTTAAAAGGTTGCAGAGAAATTGAAAATATTTTTCCATTTGTATGAAGTTCAAAGCCAGGCAAAGCTAAACATCTTCAGGGTAACATGATAAAACAGCAAAGAAAAATAAAACTTGAGAAATTAAGCTTGGAGGTTGCATCTTACCAGGGGTGGACACACAGGGCTTTGAAGTCATTAGTCATATCCCAGTTCTTAAAGTGAGTAGTGCATACAGTTGTTCATCTTAATGAATTTTATAATTATTTAAGGTGTACATATATGTGAAATATATTCTATGTATGACATACTTCACAATAGAAGTTTCTAAACAGTTACAAGAGAATACTTCTTGGGACTCTGGCAGCCCTTTTAAGTTAGAAAGATGAATATGAAACTTTAACAGTGGCTTCATATAGTAATTTGACTGCACTGGGTTTTTGTTGCAGCATGTGGGATCCAGTTCCCTGACTGATCTAGGCCCCCTGTATTGGGAGCTTGGAGTCTTAGCCACTGGACCACCATGGAAGTCCCTAGTTTCTTTTTGAATTACCTACTTAAAAAATTAAATATGTTCTTAGGAGAAAACCTCTAGAACTCCTGTGGTCCACCAGGTAGAGATAGTTCCCAAACTTCTAAACCACATACAGATCTCCTGATAGGGTTTTAGAATAGATTATGACCTACAATTGATGTCCATTTTTTCCCAGCTCAGGAAAAAACAGCTAACCAAGACTCTTGTAAATCCAACTGAGGGGACCTCCCTGGCAGTCCAGAGTTAAGACTACACTTCTACTGCAGGGGATATGGGTTCAGTCCCTGATGGGGAACCTAAAAGCGTTCATGTAGCTCCCTGGTGCGGGAAAAAAAAATTTTTTCAGAAAGTCAGAAATAGTAAAACTTGAAGGAATTCTAGCAGATTAAAAGATCTAGCTTAGAGATACGCATTTTGGAGAGGTTCTTAGCAAATCCAGCTCCATTCTTAAATTCTTGAGTCTTAACCTGGTGGTTTCATTAAGCCAAATAAGCATTTTCTCTGCTTCGGTTGTCTTAGTTGTTTCCCTGCTTTGCCCCATTTCCAGATTGAGGGGAAGCAAAGTACAGGCTAAATAGCCGTGTATTCTTTTCTCTACATGGACAGGACTTAAAAGAGGAGATTGATATCCGACTGTCCAAGGTTCAGGATATCAAGTATGAACCTCAGCTTCTCGCAGATGATGATGCAAGACTGCTACAGCTGGAAACCCAGGGAAATCAAAGTATGTAGCATGTTCTTGGAGAATACTTCAGTGAGGGGTCTCACAAATTCTGAATTCCTTTTCTCAGTTGTAAACATAGCTGCTGGCAAACTCAACAGCTGTGGTTCCTTGTTACTGGGCATATGTTAGATTGGGAAGCACTTTAAGCTTGCTGGAGTTTGGAGTATCTTCTGAGGTTTATTCCTGACACCAGTCTCTTTCTCAACAGATTGCTACAACTACCTATACAGGATGAAAGCTCTGGATGCTATCCGTGCCTCTGGTAAGGGCTGCTCAGCAGCTGTTCTGTATCCTGAGAGCTCACCCGGGAAAGAGAGGGAGGAACCCAATTTATGTTAGAATTTGTCCTTTCTACACCTACCCAACTGGTAGGAGTTTGTTAATTTTGAGAGTACTGGGTTACTGTTTTGCCTTAAGGAAATGATGTGGGTGAGTTTTTTTTCTCCAGAGAGTGTGGATTTGTTTTGTTCTTTCTATACCTTTAGTTTCATGAACTGGTGGCAATTTGCTTGTTTTTCCACAGGAGACAGGCAGCATCTGCTTTTTCACCAAGCCTACATAGATGGTTCTTGATTTTTTTTTTTTCCATTTGACCATTGTCAAAAATGCTCTTGAATTTTTTTTTCATTTTTTTCATATGACTATTGTCAGAAATGCTCTATCTCTACCAAAACATAGTTTATATCTTAAACGATGGGTAGGTAGGAGGGTAAATAGGAAAATGACAGTTGTGTACAATTGGTATAATTTAACAGTTGTATTGCTACCACTGTATATGACCACTCAGACATAGCTCTAGATCTCTAGTCTTCTTAATTCTCTTAAAATTTCCCCCCCAACTCACTCATTGTATATGTTTCTAAGTTTGGGAAATTAATTAGGAAGACTAAACAAATGGGAAAGGGGGTATCATTGTTCTATTATCTCCACAGAGATCCCATTTCATGCTGAAGGCCGGCATCCCCATTCCTTAATGGGCAAGAATTTCCGCTCCTACCTGCTAGATCTTCGAAACACTAGTACTCCTTTCAAGGGTGTGCGCAAGGCCCTCATTGATACCCTGCTTGATGGCTATGAGACAGCTCGCTATGGGACAGGGGTAAGCCACAGTGGATGGCCACTTTTTCCTTCAGGAAACTAAAGGGATGCCCCAGACTGAGAGATCCTCATTCTTCCTTCCTCTTTCTTCAGGTCTTTGGCCTGAGTGAGTACCTGCGCTATCAGGAGGCCCTGAGTGAGCTGGCCACAGTGTGAGTTTGGAGGGGAACACGTCAAAGGAAGCTGGTTAGAGAATACAGTAGTCCTGGGCTGTTCTCACAGTTAGATTACTTTCAAAAGCACTGTGAACAAAATCAGGTCCTAGAACTGTTTCTTACTTATGTTGGAAAGTAGATGCAAGCTAATAAGAGAAGTTTCTCCTACTTTTTTGTATCTCTTTTCTTGTTTTTTTTTTTTTTGTCCAACTCAGTAAAATGTCAAAATTGGTGTAATCTGTTACACCAGTAAAAGGAATAAAATAGTTTCTCAGCAAACAGAGATGTCTTCCTTTGTATCTTGGTCTGATAAAAGTAAGAATTAATTGTCAGCCATCTTTATTACCACTTAAAGTATTAATAACCCTGACTGAAACAAAAGGTATTACTAAAGAGCTAGCTGTGTTTTATAGAAGAGACTTCATGACTTTTTGCTGAGAACATTTTAAATACCTACTAACAGAGCTTCAATATGTTGTTTATGCATGTATGTAATTATAAGAGTAAAGGGGGAAAGCAAATCTGGAATAAAGAGTTACCAGCCACGAAAAGAATACATCTGCTTTCTGCTGTGTTGATTATGACTCTTTCTCAAAAGATGAGGGGTATGTCTGTCCTGTTTTCTCTATATCCTTATAAACTACTTTGTTCTAAAGACAAAAGGTCCTATAAAAACTACTTAGAAAACTAATGAAAACACTTGGAAAGGGTGGAAAAGGCCTGTTCAAGTTCAGTTTCTTTGAAAGTAAAATACTGTATGACTCCACTTATGTGAGGTACCTAGAGTAGTCATATTCATAGAGACAGAAAGTAGAATGGTGGTTGGTAGCGGCTGGAGGGAAGGAGGAATAGGGAGTTGTTTAATAGGCAGAGGGTTTGTTTGCCAAGATGAAAAGAATTCTGGACGTTGGTTGCACAACATTGTGAATGTACGTAACACTACTGAACTGTAAACATTTAAAAATTGTTAAGATGGTAAATTGTGTATTTTACCGCATTTAAAAAAATTTAGTCTCTTTGATCTCTAGTTTCTAGAAAGTTTCAATGGGTATATTGAAGAGTATAAGCTCTAAAATCTGACAGACTTAGGTTTTAATCCCAGCTCTCTGTCACTTACTAGCTTTGTGACCTCGGGCAACTTACTTGATGGACCCTCAGTTTCCTAATCTGCAAAAGGGGTGATACCACCATAAAGGGATAATGGGATGTGAGTAAATTACATGTTGGTAAAAGGACCAGATTTAGTGTCCTAACTTGTGATAACTCAATAGTTAATTTCAGTATTACTTTTTAAAGGTCAGTTGTTTCAAAAGGACCCTTTGGACTGGGAGTATATTAGTGGCATGCACACATTAGGTGAATCAGAATTAAAAGTTTTCTTTAAGCACAGTGGAATGAAAAAGAGGTTGAGTCAGAGGCAGGGACTCAGTGGGAAAATTGGTTTCTCCGCTATTTCTAAGCTACCACATGGGATTTTAGTAACTAGTGTATAAGATAGGACAGAGACCATGTGTGGCTACAACTGCATGTATAGGATATAGAAGCCTTGAATTGTTTTCTTCCATTAGTCCTCTATCTGTCCGTGACCAGCCCTCTTTGTTTTCTTCAGGGTCAAAGCACGAAGTGGGAGCTCTCAGCGACAGCACCAGTCAGCAGCCAAAGACCTCACCCAGTCTCCTGAAGTCTCCCCAACAACCATCCAGGTGACATACCTCCCCTCCAGTCAGAAGAGCAAACGTGCCAAGCACTTCCTCGAATTGAAGAGCTTTAAGGACAACTATAACACACTGGAGAGTACTCTGTGATGGAGCTGAAGGCCTCTCACTGTTGATGGAGCCAGGCAGACTACAGTGTGCCTGCCGGGTGGCCCTCGCTCAGGTCATCTGGTTCAGCCCAGCTCTGGATCAGCTGAAGCTCTGGTTGTGTTCAGAGCTCTTAAGATTTCATGCCTAGAGGATCATTCTCCCACCCTGTCTTATGGCCAGTTTCAGAACATCAGTTAAGACTTTATTTTCCCTTGGTATGACTTTTCTCTGGAGTTGAATTAGATGTTTTTCTCAGTATTTCTGTCAAAGCTTCCTTAAAAATCCTCACTTGGTTTTTTGATCATGGTTCATCTGTCCTTTTCCAGACTATAAATTATCCCAAGGGTGACGGGGCTTGGTCTCTTGTCTTCTGTACACAGTTGAATGGGAGCCATTTGGTTTGAGACATCTAAGAGTTGACTGGTGGAAATGGCATACAGAATGGTGGGGAAATTGGTGGAGGCCATGAGTGGTACCTAGAACAACTTACCCTGGTGCTCCACTTAAACCAGAATGTTAATGGGAACATTAACAAGTTCTCTAACATGCAAGAATCTGCCTTCCACTTTCATTGTATACTGTCATGAATAAGTTGAAAAAGGAATGTTTTAACATCTGATATAATCCCATCACTCCTTATTTGTGGGATCGTGTGAAGGAATAGACCAATATCCTGATCTGACTTTATAAACCATTTAATGAATAATTAAAAAATAAACCATATGATTCATTCCTCTGTAGTTGTCTTTTAATAAAACAGGCATGTGAGGACTTCAGTGGTCCAGTGGCTAAGACTTCATGCTCCCAATGCAGTGAGTATTGGTTCCACCCCTAGTTGGGGAACTAGAGTTCGATCAAAAGTCTGATCAAAGATCCCACATTCGGCAACTAAGACCCGGTGCAGCCTGGTTTTAAAAAAAATGTTTATTTTTATTTATATTTGGCTGCACCGGGTCTTAGTTGCTGAATGTGGGATCTTTGATCGAACTCTTAAGAGTTGTGGTATGCAGACTCTTAGTTGGATCATGTGGGATCTCAAAAGAAGAAATCCTAAAGTTGCAACTGGGGTCCTTGCTCATAAAATTGCCTGTGTCACTAATAGAAGGCTGGAGAACCAGTATTCCCTTCAGGTCTCTGGGGCAACAGACCAGGTGACCAATCAACGCTCGTAGGCCTAGGCTTATTGTTGGAGGTGTAAATGTTGCTATGACTACTGAATCCTTGGTGACTAAACAGAAATGAGAGCTTGCTCAGTCTCCTAAGACTACATCAAGCAAGTCTGTAGACATGTCCACGGAAAAGATGGGAAAAGTAGAAGAGGTACGCAGAGTTGGAAAAGGCTGCTTTGTATGAGTTTCCCCTGGATAAGGTTTCCAGATGAATTTATCAGAAATTGACAGTTCTTGAGAGAGGCCCTTGATGTGACTGAAGGGTAGTAGCAGGAGTGGGAGATGCACATAGTAGGTATTCAAATATTTGTTGCATACTAACCCCTGCATAATAGGACTTTCTCCACACCTGCCCTAGGAAGTTGGCTACTCCCCTCTCTCTGAAAAGAAAGGTCTTTGTCTCCCATTGTGTTAGGGCGCTGAAGGTGAGGTACTAGAGATCAAGGCAGATAACAGAACTCCCTTTTCTTGCAGCATTTTCAAAGGGCCCTGGGACTTAAGAAGATGGTGGACAGGTAATCTCTGCTTCTGTCCTTTCCCTTACCCTTCATTTTCACTCTCCTGCCCTCCTCTGATATCCGCTTCATCTTGTTAGGGGCTCCTCAAAAAGGCAAATAGGTGTGAAGTGGGCAAGAAGCAGCCCTTGTTTCCCATCCTCTGAAGGAAAATTGGAGCAAGTTTTTTTTTTTTAATCTTTTTAAGGAAAATTCAAATATTTGTTGTCTGGCATCACACTCACCAACCACATGGTAGGTATGCAGTAGGTGTTTATTGAATGAATGAATAAGAAAACTCAAAAGATTAAGCTGTATATCTTTTATCACCTGGGGAGCTTTTTTAAAAAACAAAGGTCTTAGGACTTCCCCAGTGGTCCAGTAGTTAAGATTCCTCGCTGCCAATGCAGTGGGTGCAGGAGTGGGTGGGGAACTAAGATCCTATGTGCTGTATGATGTGGCAAGAGATTTAAAAAAGACCTTAACCCAGAAGAAGATTCTGACTAAAATGGTCTGAAATTAGATATAGGATAAGCCTGTTTTTTAAGGTTTCATAGGTTATACCCAGAGGTAGCAAGAATGTGACGTAAAAAGAATGGATATATAGTTTTCGTGGGAGTCAAGATTGATGCAGCCTTTTTTATAAAATTATCAAAATTTTAAATTCACAGATTCTTTGAATTGGCAACTCAACTTCTAGGAATTTACCTTACACACATACCTACAAAAGCAGTAGAATGTACACACACGAGTATTCATGACAGTATTGTTTATACAAGTAAAAAAGTTAGAAATAACATGTAGCTGGTGAAATTATGTTATAAAAGTACTTGGCAGCCTTTAAACAGAACGAAGCAAATCTCTTAAGTGCTGATATGAAAAGTCCAAATTGTTATGTAATACTGTTTATGTAAATGTATGATTTCATGTTAAAAATAAAAGTTATACTTGCTGATACATGATAGAAAATTTTTCTATAAAGATGCACAAGCAACTGCTAACTTTGTTGAGATGAACTGGGGCAGAAGAGTGATGCTTCCATCTTTCATTTAATATATATTCCTGTATGTATTTAATTTTTCAGCTATCTGTAAAAAATGCTTGTTTTAAAGAAATGTCAACAAGATTATCTGAACAGAGGATATGTGTGTGTATCACGTGTATAATCCTGTTATGTATTAGAAAACCTCAACAAATGATTCCAGAGTGTGTCTAACCAAGACAGTATCACTGGTATGACGGAAGGAATCAATCCTTAGATTAGATTTGATACTGAGGTCTGCCATTAGGTGACCTTGGGCAACTCACCTGAACTTTTAAGTTTCCTTGTTTGTATAATGCAAAAATTGATATCTGTGACACATGGTTATTACAGTGATTGAATGATATACTTAATATATGCTAGGTTCTAAATCAGTGTTTCCCTGGTGGCTCAGACAGTAAAGAATCCACCTACAATACAGGAGACCCAGCTTGGATCCCTGGGTTGGGAAGATCCCCTGGAGAAGGGAATGGCAACCCATTCCAGTGTTCTTTCCTGGAGAAGCTAAGCCAGTACTAGTCACTGGTTCAAGGAGTTTGCAGTCTTCTCTGACAATGGTACAGAAGTTCCGATGAAGAAGAGCCTCCCTGACAGGGTTTTGTCTCTCCTCCCAACTCTAACCTATTCTACCGCTACCTTTGTGCCTGGGACAGGTGGCGAAGTTCACACACTCACTGTCTGTGGCAGATAACATTAAGCCAGAGGAGAAACCCATATGCTATCCTAAGGATGCAGGACACCATGGTACAGGAGTTGGCACTGGCCAGCAAGCAGTTGCTGATGGTGAGTTCTAGTGGCCTGAAGTTTCATCCTACTGCACTATTCCTCTGCCCACTGGGATTCCCAAGCTCCTGGTCTCTGCCATTCCACCAGAGCAGCAACTCTTTAACCCTGAAACCAAAGCTCCTTTTCACTGACTCTCTGTATCCAGCTGTAGAATCCCAGAGTGGTCTCGTCTCTGCTCCTCTCACCTTGGTAAAACTGCGCCTTGGTGCCCAGTATCTGCCTCTGGGAATCTCTCTCCCTGGGGTCCCCAGTTGCTGTCACGTCACCATCTTTGTATCCCAGATGCCTAGAAAAGTTTCTGGGTTTTGGTGTGTTCTCAGAAAAGATGTGGGTCTGCACACCCACAGAGAAAAAAATGGGTTGGCTTCCCCTCCAAAGTTCAGTCTTTATCCTCCTGCTTAATTTTAAGCCATAGCTAATTCCAGATCCAAGAGAAAACGGGGGATGGGAAAGCAACCAGGGAGAAAGAATGAGAAAGGCAAGTAAACAGAGGGCCAACGTCACACTCTTCTACCCACCCCACCAGGTCCGTCAGGCTGCCCTGCACCAGCTGTTTGAAAAGGAGCATCAGCAGTACCAGCAAGAACTAAATGAGAAGGGCAAAGCTTTTTATGTGGAGAGACTCTGATGGCATTCGGAACATTGTCCTTCCATCCTCACCGCGTCTGCTAACCTAGCCTTCTTGAGCCCCACTACCTCCAAGGTCGCTTCCTAAACGCACCTGGATATAGTTATCTGCCCAGGGCTTAAAACAGTCTTCCCACTCTCACATCTCCTGTTCTTGTCACCCGCCCTGGTGCTATCTGGAAAACAGTCTATGAAACAATGGTAAAAACAACAGTGACGCCTTGTGGTCAGAATGAGGTATGCAGTATTGACGTGAGTGGAGGGGAAGTGGACAGATGAACAACGTGAGCAGAGCATCCTGATTTGGTTTAATAAATAAAGCTAGTTCTTAAAAGTTCAGACTTGGACCGCTGGCTTATTCTCTCAGCCCACTTCAAAGTGCTTTGTTCACAGCTGCCAGAATCTTAATACAGCTCACTGCCTCTCTGATCTCTCTTCACAGGTCTTTTCTGTATACTTGGACAACAGATCTGAATGTGCCTATTAATCCACAGGCACCATGGGGCTTGATATCAGTAGGACTGGATTTTACATTTTGACTTTGCCAATTATTGTGAGACCTTGGAAAAGTCTCTTTCCTCTGAATTTCTGTCTGAATGCTCACCTCTTCAAAATGACAGGGTTCCAAACTCAAATGCCTTCAGGGGTTAGGCAGGTAATATAGCAGTTATGAGGGGGAAAGAAATGGTGGGATTTATGGGGGACTAGAAAGAGAATGTGACATCTTAATCTATTCAAAATTCTGAAAAGTAGTAATCATACGCATCTATAGGCCACAGAGAACCTTACTCATAAAGATCCACTTTACAAATGATATCTCAAGCCAGAGAGACTCCCACTTTGCAGCCAGTAACAGGAGCAGAAACACACCATCACTCTGATTAACTGCCATCATACGTATTTTCCCCTCATCCCTCACCTTGCATCTGTATTCTCATTGGTGACTCATCCTTCCCACACTGATGATTTCCTGCTCTCAACACTGTGGCTCTGTCCACACTGCAGACTCACACCTTTTCTTTCCCCCGTGCCACAAGTCTGCCTCTGTCCTTCAATACGCCGTTTTCATCTTAGCTGTCAGAACTTCTCCTTCCTCCTCTCCTTACTCACCACACTGATGAGCACAGAGAGGTAGCAAGGTATAAAGAGAAAAGCACACATTTTGGAATCACGTTTGGGTTCAAAGTCTGGCTTCACTTCTTAATTGTGTGCTGCTGCTGCTGCTAAGTCGCTTCAGTCATGTCCGACTCTGTGCGACCCCATAGATGGTAGCCCACCAGGCTCCCCTGTCCCTGGGATTCTCCAGGCAAGAACACTGGAGCAGGTTGCCATTTCCTTCTCCAATGCATGAAAGTGAAAAATGAAAGTGAAGTCGCTCAGTCATGTCCGACTCATCATGACCCCATAGACTGCAGCCTACCAGGCTCCTCCGTCCATGAGATTTTCCAGGAAAGAGTACTGGAGTCGGGTGCCATTGCCTTCTCTGGACTTAATTGTATATGTATAGGTTATTTCTCTGAGCCTCAGTTTTCTCTTCTGAAAGTGAATATAATACCCATCTCATAGAAACATGAGGATTAAATAAGATAAATGTGTGTAGAGAGCAAGCGCAGCCCTTGGCATGCAGTAGGTATCCTCCCACTTCCCTCTTAGGAGATTTCCTATGACCCAAGCCCTTCACAGGGGGCCTGCAGCCCCCTTATACAGCTCAAATATCATTCTCCATCCCAGCCCTGTCTTTCTCTTTCTGTCCTAAATGTCCATTCATCCTCCAATCTCCATCAGCCCTGCTTCCCAAGCCCTCTAATCTTTAGTCAATAACTGCTCTTGAGTTGTGACACCAAACAATACACGGAGCTCCAGGCTGGTGGGGGAGGCAGGCGGTGAACAAGTCATGACAGGTATGGTGGGAGTTTTATAGGAGACAAAACCACACACATGTGTCCTCGGTTTGACCCATTAAGCTGAGACTAAGTCTCCCCTTCCTTCTGCCTGTTCCTCCACTCTGTTCCCTATAGGTCTGTCTCACCTCCCTTCCCTCCTCTTTGTATCTGTCTCCCAGCTACCCCCTGCCTCATACATGGCAGCATAGCCTGGTGTTAGGAGAGCAGGCTTCCATATGACAGATTTGGGTTTGATTTCTGACTGTCACTTACTGCCTGTGTGTTCTTGAGCAAGTAACTTTAACTTTCTGGGTTACAGGGCCTTATATGTAAAATGGAGATAATGCCTACCACACTAGATTACTGTGGTGATTAAATAAAGCACTTAGCAGAGATAACCCACAGTGATGTTTTCCTGTCCTTTGATAGTTTTTCTATTTTTATTTCCACTCCATTACCTTGTTGCCCCTCACCTCCCGCCACATTCCCTCATCAACCTCTTTTATTTCTTTTCTGTTCATTTGGGCCCACAGAACGCCCCACCCCTCTGCCATGATCCCTGACCTTGGCCTCTCTCCCCAGGGCTTGTCAGTGCCAGGCCAGCTCCAGTATTGGCAGTCCGGCCCCCTACGGAGCCCATCGCCTCTGCTCCTCTCTGCCTGCGCTGTCTGCTCTCATCACGTCAGCTGAGTAATTCACCCCTTCATACCTCCCCAGCCCCTCTTCCCTCTGTGGCCAGTGCTTTACCCAGCTCCTCAGGCTCAAAAGGGCTCAGTCTGGTTTGAAATGGCTACACAGAAGGTACTTCCGGGGGAGCTGGAAAGCTTTCATCAGAGGCCATCTGAGGTTTCCGCCTGAACATGCCACCCTGTCAGTCTCTTCCTGGGAGAGCCGCTCCTCTCCTACATCAATATTTCCTGTCTCTGCCTCTGTTTCCCGAGTTTGCCGAACACTACAGTCCTTTCAATTCCTGCTAAAATCCCTTTCCCAGCCTCTTGCCCTCCAGCCTGTGGTTCTCCAGGGCAGTCAAGGTTTCCAGAGAAGGGAACTAGAATTTGGGGCAGGTGTGGGTGTTAAGGGTAAAAAAGGAAGGTCAAGAAAGTGAAAAATTACACGCAGACTGAAAGCCATAATACAACACCACAGGTGTCTACCTTGGGGCTTGTAGGCCCATTTGTTAGTCTTCCCTGGAAGGCAAGAGCCGCACAATATGAATTGACTGGAGCTTGGGACAAGCTATCGATCTAGATCAAGGACAGTCAAGTTGGCAGATCGTTTGTGTGTGCACGTTGAGCAGGGTGGGGGTGTCCGGACTAATGGGAACAAGGACACATGGAACAGGCCTGGGGGCTGAAGCAGAGCCGCCTCCTCCCACCCCCACACTTCCATCCAAGCCCCCCGCCCCACCAGTGCAGCTATAACTCGGGCTCCTTTCTGCCACAGTAGAGAGAAGCATCTGCCTGCCACAGGACATTCAACAGACCTGATTCTCTTCAGCAGAAAAACCTCCCAGAAAAGCAGGCACCCGTGAGGAAAGACCCTGAAAGAAGCCAGCTCAGGAGCACGCGTTGTAAAGAGCCCCAGAAGAGGAGAGTCCCAAGGACTGCAGGCTGTTTCCTGGCAGAGGCGTTTTCCTCCCTCAGCTTGTCCTTCTAAAATCTTGGTTTCAATTCTGCCAGGCAGGAGAGGCTGTCCTTAAGTCTTCTCTAGAGCCTGGGCTGGAGCCTGCTAGTGAGACAGGTCACGCTTCTCTTCTGGACATCCAAGGGTGACTTTAAGGAGGACGATGCCTGGAGGACAGGGGGAGAAGGTGAGAAGGGACAATATGGTGGGAAAAAGCAACCAAGCCTTCTGGAAGTTTCTCATGGCTACTCATCTCTAGTATTCAAGAGCAGGTGGCTTCCAGGAAAGTGTCCGCTGAAAGGCCCTCAGCAGTCTTCCGGGGGTGCTGGAAAGGTAAAGCAGGATGTGCAAGCCCCCACCCCCACTCCCGGAAAGCCTTGGGGCAGCTGGAGGGGAACTGAGGGGAGCAGGTGGCAAGGTTGACAAGGAGCTGCTGACACTGTTGATCCTCTGAGCGCTGAGGCCGTGACACCAGGGGAAGAAACTGTGTTGGAGCTTTTGGAAAGGATAGGTGCCCGGATGCAGAGGGTTGCCAGATATTCTTCCTGGTTTAGGCTAGCGTGATCAAGCAAAGGCCAGGCACTGGTAGCAAAGGAGCCAAGACAGGAATGGCACGAAGAGCCGATGAGTAAGAGCCGGCTGTCTTAGGAGGTGAAGAGCAGGGGTTGGTTGGTGCCCTTTCCCCAGAGAGATGGCTCTCGGGTTGGTGCCTGATGTGTCTGCTCTGCCCTTTCTTTGCAGTGGGGAGGAAGGCAGAGAGCCACGAAAGCTCTTCTGTCTGCTTCTGTGTGATATGTTTGATATTGAGTTGTTTAATTAGGAACCAACTAAATGTCAAACATATTGTTACAGCAGTAGGCAATTTGGCATCATACTCTTTCTTACCCCAACTTCTGGGGCTCCGGGGTTCCTGTTTTTTTACTGAACCTATTTTCTCCAGGACCCCTTTGGAAGACTAGTGGCTGCAACCCATGTGGATTTCAATCTTAAACTGGAGGGCTAGTGTGAGAGCAGGAGAGAACTGGAGCCTGGGTATTAAATGTTCCTCTATCTTTCCCTTGTGTGTGCATGCTGAGTCACTTCAGTCATGTCCCACTCTTTGCAACCTCCTGGACTATAGCCCGCCAGGCTCCTCTGTCCATGGGATTCTCCAGGCAAGAATACCGGAGTGGGTTGCCATGCCCTCCTCCAGGGGATCTTCCCAACCCAGGGATTGAACTCGCATCTCCTATTTCCCCTGCACTGGAAAGCGGGTTCTTTACCACTAGTGCCACCTGTGAAGCCTCTTTTCCTTGTACTAGAAGAGAAATGGTTCTGATCTTTTCCTGTCCTTGTGTTTTTCTCCTCCTTATTCAATCTCCCCACCTTATTATCCACTGCTTCCTGTCCCTGGGACTCCTATTCCCTAAAGCCAATAGAAGGGGTCTTTGGTTTTTCTGTTTTCTTTCAAGAGTCAGCTGATGGTTCTATCTGTGTATTTAGTGATTAGAAACAGGCATTTCAGTCACCCCATTGTTGGAGCCTAGTATTAATACCAGCCATCTATCCTTGACATAATGACTAATGAGCACCATTTATATTTTCCTTCGGGTCACCTTGAACAGTGCCCACCTCTCTCTAGCATATTCTCAGATTGTATGGTGCCTGTGTCTGGGATCAACTACCACCTGTCAGCAGCAAGGCTCCAAGTGGAATGAACACAGCCTGGAGCTAAGCCAGGGAGAACAGAGCTGGTAATGATTATGATGACGACTGGGGGCAGTTAAGAAGGGAGCAGAGGGTGAGAAGAGCAGAGAGCAACAAGACCTTGGTCTATGTGGGTATAAAAGTTCTATTTAAAGATCACTATGGGAAAATGGAGGACATGATCCCATCTGGTTTACTCTGTCTCCCACTTTTTTTTCTCTGCCCACTGGCCTGAAACTCTGAGATGGCCATCCAAATCCCAACCCTATGCTCTTACTCCATCCCCCTGGTTCTTAAGTGGGGAGGAATAATGTCTCCCTGCCAGTTAGAGACTCTCAAAATAACACAGTAATTTGATCTGGGGTTCTGGGGAATTGTCAAGGATCATGGGTGATCTCCCCTCTTCACTGTTGCTCAAGCTCCCTGAATACCAGGAATCAAAAGGTAAAACTCAACCAATGGAATTTGATTAGCATCCAACACAGTCTGGGTGAGAGTAAGGGGAAAGCTGAAGGGCAACTAGGAAAACTAGTCACGCTTTGGGTGAAAACTACCATTCTAGAATTGCCAAAGTACCCTTCTATATTTCAGTGTCCTACCCCTCCCCTTTCCTTGCTCTTTAAAATATGCTTGGAGCTGCCCAGAGTGAGTGGAAAGTTTCAGGGTCAGGGAGAACCCTTTCCCTCCCCCACTTTCCATTGTCTAAAATCAGCCTCAGCTGTTCCCTAATTTTTCTTTGCTGGTGATGTCAGTCCATCAAAGTGTCTCACCCTGTGTTCCCCTGAGAACAATGATGGGGCGGAGGGAGCTGGAAAGACCATATTAGGAACAAGAGGTGGAGCCATGGGCAGAAATAAAGGCCCAGGTCTGGGGAGCTAGTCACTCAGCCAGCAGCCCCTCCTTTCTTGCCCTAGTCTCCAGTCCTCCAGTATTCACAGGTGAGCTCCCCAACGGCCACTGTTCAGGATGGAGGCCATCAAGAAAAAGATGCAGATGCTGAAGCTGGACAAGGAGAATGCTCTGGATCGGGCAGAGCAAGCGGAAGCTGAGCAGAAGCAGGCAGAAGAAAGAAGTAAGCAGGTAGGCCCTAACCTTGGTCTTTCTTACTGGCTGGTGAGCAAAACTGAAATGGAAGAGTTTTGGTGGGAAAGGCAGTGACCACTGGTGCCAGCTCATCCTTTGGGTGGGGGACCTCTTCTTCCCCAGCCCCACAGCACACGAAGAGGGCATCTAGGGTATTTGCCTTAGACTGCCTGTGTGACCTTGTGAAAGTCAGTGGCCCCTTCTGAGCAACAGTCTGTCTGCTGGATTTAAATGGGAGTGGATCATGTTTTGGAAGAACTCCTGACTTCTAGAGGAAAAGATGGGAGCTTGACATGCAGCATCTCTTTTCCCTTAAATGGGGTCACAGACATTGACATCTGAAGATATTTACCATCCCAATGTCTTAATGAAAACTCAGCATGGCCTGGTCATTTTAGGATCAGAGATTACAAGGTCACAGGCCAAAGCTATAGCATAATTCCTGGTGCAGTTGACTGAAACTGATGAAGAAGAAAGTGTGTTGTCTCTCTGAGGATGGTAATATAGAGGGTGAGCTTAGGGGTCTGTCAGGCTCAAGAGCCTAGGGTCTGAGTCTGCATTGTTGTATATGTATGTCTTGTGTGTGACTCTTGGGACTTCCATAGCTGGAAGATGAGCTGGCAGCCATGCAGAAGAAGCTGAAAGGGACAGAGGATGAGCTGGACAAGTATTCTGAAGCTTTGAAGGATGCCCAGGAGAAGCTGGAGCTGGCAGAGAAGAAAGCAGCTGATGTGAGTATAGGGAACCTGGGAGGTGGGTTTAACCTAATCAAATAGATCTTCATGTTAATAACTGAATTCTAAACACACTTGGACATATACATACTTGTGGATTCTCAGAACACAGGCATAGATACCCACATACATTTTTGCCACATGCTGGTATACCCTTATTGGCATATACTTTCATTCTTTAAAACATGCAGAAGTCTCATTTTTCTTACCCCAATCCAGGACCCAGGACCTGGGCAGAGGGAGAGGAGTCAAAGTCCAGAACGCTATCACTGGCCCCACCCTCCTCCCCCAGGCCACATTCTTAGCTTTTGTGTCCAAGGGCTGGCACGTAGATATGTGTATTAATAGGGAAACTCTCATCTCTCAACTGCCCGGCAGAGCTAGCTCAGATTTCACAATGGGACAAAGGAGGTCACACTGACCCTGGCCCTATATGGGTTTATTTCTCTTGGCCAACGTGGGCATCTGACCTTATGCCACAGAGATGCCATAGAAAGCATTGCTTATAGGGCAGCTGAAAGAATCTTAGAATGATATATCAGAAATAAGAAGGACCAGGGAGTAAAGCTGTTACCAACAGACCTCACTCTGTGACCTTGACTAAATTATTCAGCTTCTCTAGGGCTGAGTTTTCCCACTTGAGAATGAAATAAATTCTCTTTTCCACTTCACGTTATCTCACAGTCACCCATTTCCCTTTATCGTCAACCTTGAAGTTAACCACAAAGATAAATGAGAGACTACACAGAAAAGATTTGTGAAAGAAAAGTAACATAGGAATCTTAATAGCAACAAAAGAATGTTCTGGTATTGATGGAAATACAGTCAATTCTCAGCACTGAGTTAGTAAGAAAGTATTTTTAAAATCACATTTGATTTTGGAAAACAGCTAGAAACAGAGTAGGAGGTTCAGAAATGTTTTCGGATCCTCTCATTCACTTTTTTACTATTAGGTTTCTGATCTCCCCTCTGGCTTTCTGCCACTTTCAGTGACCTGGGGAAGTGGTGAGGGTTTCTGAATGTATCATGCCAGAGGTCAGAGACAGAGAGCATATTATATACATGATACATATTCATAGTTTCCAAAAGTTTCAGTTCAGTTCAGTTCAGTTCAGTCACTCAGTCCTGTCAGACTCTTTGCGACCCCATGAATCGCAGCACGCCAGGCCTCCCTGTCCATCACGAAAGTTTACACCACTACTAACTATTCCTTCTCCCTTCTTGGAAAACTGTGAACAACACAGGTTACTCCCAGGACTTTGGGCTAGAGTTTGATGGCCTGCTTTACAAGGATAGATGACTATATCTCTCTGGTTCAAATAAATGGGCATGGGAGTAAGTTTTCACACATGAACACAATGTCAGGTTGATAACAATTTTGTGAGACGTAACAAAATTGTAACAACTCTCTGGGAAAGTCCTTAGGCTGCTATAGCTAGTATATGGGCTTGAGGAGATATTTCCAGGAACAATGAAAAGAACAAACAAGATTAACCGAAGATTTGGGGAGGGAATGAATGACATAGAGGCTCTAGACAATATACTGATACCATTGGGAAGATAAAGGAATTTGTTGGAGATGAATTCTATTTGTCCTTACACATACACACGTAAACACACGTCAGCCCCCACCTAAGACAGGGTCTACTCGGTATATTCATTTGAAAGAAACTTCTCATAGGCATATAGGAAGCTACCAAAACCATTTAAATATACAAAGTATGGGTAAAAAACCTCATTCAACTTCTCTCCGTCTTGTTAGCTTTCCCAAAAAGTCATTAAGTCCCTTCAGAGATACATAAGAGAACAAGAAATAGGAGGAGAAGCTTGTAGACAAGAGGCAAACAGTGTTGTTGGAGAAGACTGTGGTGTTGGAGAAGACTCTTGAGAGTCCCTTGGACTGCAAGGAGATCCAAGCAGTCTATCCTAAAGGAAATCAGTCCTGAATACTGATGGACTGATGCTGAAGTTGAACCTCCAATACTTTGGCCACCTGATGCGAAGAACTGACTCATTTGAAAATACTTTCATGCTGGGAAAGATTGGAGGCAGGAGGAGAAGGGGACGACAGAGGATGAGATGGTTGGATGGCATCACCAACTCGATGGACATGAGTTTGAGTAAGCTTCGGGAGTTGGTGATGGACAGGGAAGCCTGGTGCTGCAGTCCACGGGGTCGCAGAGTCGGACACAACTGAGGGACTGAACTGAACTGAAGATGGAAACTAGAAGAAAGGTTTCTTTTCTCAAAGGTGGTGTCAGCAAACTATCACCTGTGGGGTAAATGATGCTTCAGCCTGGTTTCCTACAAAGTTTTATTGAACATTTCCATGCCCACTCATTTACATATTGCCCTACTGACTTTCCCCCTACAAGAGAGTGGCAGCCACACACTATGGTCCACAAAATCAGAAATATTTACTATCTGGCCCTTTACAGAAGTTTCAAGTAGAGAGCAAGGGTCAGAGTCAGCAGCACATAGCATATGCATCTTTGAAGGGAGGGTGTTCTTTCTAATAGGAAGGGAGTTCACAGCTCAGCTTCTGCCCTTGAGATTAATAAACAAGTAAAGAGAGCATATTACTTTGATGTAAATATAAGGGGAAAAGAAGGAGGGAGTCAATAACTGCTTATTTACACTGGGAGTCCTGGTTACCTGAGAAGCCAATTTGGAAAGCATAGGATTTGCTAGAACTCCTTGAACAAAGAAAGGGTAAGGGTGTGGCAAGGTCAGTCTGAACTTCATTTATTTCCTCCCTAAGTTCATCCAAGGTCCTTTTTGTTTTTTAATTGTGAAAAACTACACATAATGTAAAATTTGCCATTTTAACCATTTTTAAGTGTACAAGTCACTGGTGGTAAGAACATTCACACTGTGGTGCAACCATGTGGAAGGTTCTTTTGATCTGAGATGAAATCAGAAGCTGTTGAAGGTAAACAAAAGGAGAATGAAATAATTAGGACACATAAGTTTTACTTTTTTTTAAGGACAGGAGGTGAAAGGGATGGGGAGAAGAGGGAGAGGACACCTGTTGATACATTGTACTGTTGGTTACCAGGAAAACAATAGCACTAGGCCCCTTGCTGCCCATCCATCCTGCTTTTAAAGGTCATTAGGAGTCAGTCCACCTGTTTCCCTGGATCAAGAGAAGATTATCTGTTCAAATCTACCAGCCTCAGGAATGCAGTGGTGCTCTCAACACTCATTTGGTTTGTCTAAGATGAAGTCTTCTGCTTCTTCAGTGGGGCAAGGGAGCAGTGCAACAGTGTCCCCTGCTGATCAGCACTGAGATGTCAAAGTCTCATTTTTATTTCCATAACCCCTCTCATTGCTGCTAAGTTGCTTCAGTTGTGTCTGACTCTGTGCGACCCCATAGACGGCAGGCCACCAGGCTCCCCCGTTCCTGGGATTCTCCAGGCAAGAATACTGGAATGGGTTGCTATTTCCTTCTCCAATGCATGAAAGTGGAAAGTGACAGTGAAGTCGCTCATTCCTGTCGGACTCTTAGCGACCCCGTGGACAGCAGTCTACCAGGCTCCTCCGTCCCATGGGATTTTCAAGGCAAGAGTACTGGAGTGGGGAGCCACTGCCTTAGATTTCTCCAAAGAGAGCTGCGAAAGTTCTTAGGCCATCAGGGCAGAGCTTACTGAAACTTCAAAGCCTGCTTTTTTCTTTCCATTTCCTGGGGGGAGTGGGAGGGGGGGTGTAAATCAGGGTATAGGTTACTCTATGAAGCAAATTACTTATTGTCTGAGTTGTTTCTGTTTCCTCTGATTAGTCTAAATGCTCAGTATTTCTAAATGCAGATAGTTGAAGATAGCCTCTGGTGGGAGTGTCTTCAGAACAAGGCATTGAGCGCAGCACCAATGTCTTACTTATCAATCTTCTTGGGGGTCAGGATTCTTAATTTTAAATCCTGGTCGACATCCTAATTCTCTAGAGAAAAAGAGATCTGCAACACAGGAGAGACTTATTACTATTACTTACTGAGAAGGTGGGAGGAATACAAAGAAATATAGGCAAGAGTAAAATCCTCCAGGCTCTTCATTACCGTGCTTCTAAAAATCCTGCAAGGCAATGCCTGTAGGGGTGGTTTCTAACTGACAAATAGCTCCTGGGGTACCTGAAAGCAGAAGTAGTGTGAAATTGGTCAAAGTTATAACACAGAGGGAAGGTTGAGATCCATAATACTATATACAGTTTTTCAGATGCTCCTATCAGTGCTATTGCACAAAGGATCTGGTGACAATAGTCTGTAACAGAGGACTACTGATAAAATGGAGCCTTAAGACAACTTCCTCACCTACAAAAGGAATTGTAAGCGATGATTAATTACAAAGTCCTGAATCATTCAAGGTTTGGAGAGGCTGGTAAATCACTGGGTATACTGATTCTCAAAAGTAACAGGGGAAAAGACCAGTATTCTAAATAGAACACGTTCATAACTGGTGTCAAACAGAACGAGAATTTTGCCAAACCCGCCATTAATTCCCTTCACTGACTTTCAGGAGATGGGAGAACACCTACCTGAGCTGACTTTGAGAGGAGGCTGGAGAGCAGCACTCTTGAAGATGAGGCCCAGAAAGTCTAGGCTTTTCTTAGCACCTGGGTTTGGAGCATTTGTGGGGTGGGTGAAGTAGAGGCTTGTGGGGTGTTTATGTTGTGGAGAGGGCACAGGATGCCAGGAGTGAGGGGTCAACTGCGAGTGCGTAAAGGCCGCGCAGGCCATCCATTGTGGGCGGCCTGCCCAGCAGCTGGACAGGCTTAACCACTACGCGCCTTCTGGTTACCATGGTAGCCCTCCCTCTTCCCAACCCCGCCCTCCTTTGCTGGCCGGAGGGAGAGTCTGGAAGCGGTCGCCCAGGGGTACGGGGCGGACTCGCCCCTCGCTTTCGGCCGCGGGCCTCCCTCTAGTGGACTGCCTTCCCGCCTGCCTGGCGGTGGGAGGGCGCGGCGGTCGTAGCGTCACATCCGGGCGGGTGGGTGAGTTCCGGTAT